ACTCCCACCCTCTGTGTGAAGAAAAAGACCCAGAAGGCCACAAGATGGCACTGGCCAAACACTCAGGAAATCATTGAAGGGTTGGTAAAACTTGAGCATTGAGTCATGCCCAAGCCCAGTTTCTAGGGCCATGTCTGTTCCCCGCTGAGGTGAGATCTGTGGTGGGGCAGAAGCACACCCTTGGTTTCCACCACACAGGGCACCCGTGGGTGCCCGCATTTTTGGGAAATTTTCTACAGGATGCTGCCTAGAGATGGACAGCAAAGGTTTGTCCTGTGCTAAGAATTACCAGCAGAGGTGACTGAACTTCTGTTTCCATGATGGTGAGCAGCCCAGGATGGGCTCTCTGCTCTGCTCCTTGGCCTGCAGCAGGTAGGTTTGCTGCACGGGCCAAAGCCTCTGTACAGAGAGGAACATCCACGGACAAGCCCTGACACTTTCCCCTTCACAATCCCTCCTTCCACACCTCAGCAAAACATTTATCACTCGTGTTCGGAGGCTTGCGTGGTTTTGCAAAAACTCAGCTCCGTGCTTCCAAAATGGACGAGTAAAATTCGGCGTTTCTTTAAGTCAAGGAGTGAAATTCAACATTTCTAAGTTTCCGTGCCCGCAGGGCTCTCCCAGATATGATCACAGCAGGCGGTGGGAACCCAGCCCTCCCACCGCGCATCCCCTGGGAGGGAGCCGGCGGGGAACACACCAAACAACCCTCTGACACCGCGGGGCCTCCGCTCGGCTCCATTCGCCCCCGGCGCCCCCTCAGCCCCCGCCGAGGCCGGGACCCACCGCGACCCCGACCCCCGCCAGCCTCAGCGGGGCCGGGCGGGCCTCACGGCGGGGAGAGGGAGGGGGGTCGGGCGCTGCCCACCGGCTGGAAGGGCGAGCCGGCGGGCGGGTGTCGGAGCGGCGCCGGCCCCGCGCCCCACGGCGGAGGGAAGCGCGGGCGGGTCGGGCCGGTGGGCGCCGCTCCCGTTTTGCTCTGCTGGGATCCCCCCCGGGCGCGGAGGAGGAGGCGGGGAACGCGCCCCTCTTCTCCCGGCCGCCGCCGAGGCTGACAGAGACGAACTCTTCGCGGCGGCAGTGGCGAGAGCCGGCCGACCGCGGCCTGAGGGCGATGCGGCGGCGGGAGCCTCCGCGACGGTCCCCCGGCTGCGGGGCAGGGGATGGGACGGGGGGGGACGGCCACGGGGGACCCCAGGGCGGGCCGGAGTGAGGAGCCCCCTCGCTGACGTTTTTTGCTGGCAGACCCCCCTTTCTCCTTTCCCTCCCCTCACCCTCCCCGGGGCTGCTCCCCTCGCCCGCTGAAAGTCAGCGAGTAAAACAGCGGGCGGGCGCGGGGAGCGCGGCGACGGCCATTAGGGTTAGTGGTACCCGGGGCTCCCCACTCACCACGCCACGTGGGGCGCCCCCGCCGGGCTTCTTAAACCCTCCGAGGCCACGCCCACCGCGCCCTCGATTGGCCGGACTTGGGTGTGGAGGGGGGTCCCCTCCTCCTCCCCTATTGGCTGCGGTGGGGCGAGGGGGCGGGAGGGTCGGAGTGGCGGGAGTTTGGATGGCCGGGGCTATTCGCCCGCCGGCCGCCCCCACGTGCTCGCGGGCGCGCGCCTCTGGCTCTGCCCCGCCCCTTCCCTGGGAGCCGGGACCGGGGTCTGGGTCTGGGCCTCGGAGGGGGAATTTTGGGGCTGGGGGTTTAACGGCGGGACTTTGGGGGGCTGGGACCCCCCCCCATCCAGGGCCTGCCTGCCTCTGTCGAGGACCCTTGTGTGAGGAACTAGGCCCCTGGTGTGTCCCCCCCCCGCCCCGAAGCGGGGCTGCGCCAGCCCCCTGGGCGCTGCTGGGAGAGAGGGGGGTTTCTCTCTCTCCCCTGCCATATCCCCCCGGGCACGGCGTCTTGTGTCCCCGTCCCCCCTCTCCCTGTGCGGTACCTTGCTGTCCCGCCTCTGCTGCATCACCTTCCTCAGGACGGCTCTCCAGCGTTTGCTTTTAGACCCTGAGATTTCCACGGAAAAAAAACCAGGGCGTTTCAGGGCCACGCGGTTTTGCAGGGATAATTTTTGCGCTTTTGAAGCAAGAGGGTGGAGCTCTCGGTCTTCCTCACTTGACAGAAGAGCAGCGTTCTGGTAAAGAAGCTCTTTAAAAACATATTTTACAGAACGATGTATCCTTGGGCTAAGAACACGCGATGGCGATCCATTCGGGACAGAATTGGAGCAGAGCTTGTCAACCCCCGGTGACTGGAGGGTGAAAGAGGGTTTTGGGACAACACAACCTTTGGCTCTGAACCATAATTTCACGGCCACCAGGAAGGTGGTAAGTTTTTTTCCACCTCACTAGGATTCTTGGTCATCTTTTCCTCAAGGCCCAGGCACATGCAACGTCTTTTATGCCTCATACAAGCAGCTCCTCAACTGTGGTGACTTGTGAAGAGCCACCTCCTTTCAGGCTCCATGTTGGGTGCTCTGTAGGATCACAGTTGGGTAGGACAAGCTGGAGAACACCACGGAGCGAGCAGTAGCTTTCAAAGACTGGTAAGCTGTGGGTGATACCGTAACCAGAGTCTGTCACAGCCTGTGCAGGGGGCTGAAGCCCAGAGTGTGAGCCCAGCCTGGACACACTGCTCCATCCATGTGCTCAGGGAAGAGCTCTGCCATTTTTTCTGGGTTAACCAGTGGTTTCTCAGTCAGAATCACTCTCTGCTCACTACTCTTCATCTTCAGGGCATGAATATTCTTCCCCCCAGCCTCCCCAGGGTGTGATTGTCCCACGCTCTTTTGGGTACCTACAGCAATCAAACAAAATGCAGTGGCACAGGACAAGTCCTTTTCCACCCCAGCCTCCCTGGCAACACCAGCGTCTCCCCTTGGTCTGTTTGGGGATGTCCCAGGTGAAGGACGTTAGGAAAAAACACTTCTTCTACTCTTAAATTATGCGTGGTGTTGTGAAAAAATACTGGAAAGACATTTGTCTCTTTCACGGGCCAGGCAACTTCAGCAGCTGGGAGAGTGGAGACCATCCTGCTCCTCAGGGAAGGTTGCAGCATGTTACTTAAACAGGACCTTCCTTAACTGTGACCGAACATATTATTATATCAATAATAATACATATTATTAGGAAAAAGCACTTCTTCTGCTCTTAAATTATGCGTGTTGTTGTGAAAAAATACTGGAAAGACTTTTGTCTCTTTCACAGGCCAGGCAACTTCAGCAGCTGGGAGAGCGGAGACCATCCTGCTCCTCAGGGAAGGTTGTAGCATGTTACTTAAACAGGACCTTCCTTAACTGTGACCGAACATATTATTATATCAATAATAATACATATTCATTAGTTAATTTGTATTCTGTGTTTCATTAATTTCTTCTGAATTATTAAAATGTAATCCTCGGGGCCTGCTGAAGACCTTGCAGGAATGAAATGGGTGTTATTGATAGAGGGGCAATATGTGATTGGGCAGAGACGTGGCTGCAATCTCACCCTTTTCACACTGGGTGCTACAGTTGTGCCCAACGGATCTTGTGATGGTGACTTTTGTGACAGTCTTTTTGACTGTGCCACTAAGAACACAGTGTGTTCCCACAAGAGTTTCTCCACGTGGACCTGAGAGACGTTGCACGCATGAAAGGAGCTGATAAGGATGCTCATTTTTCCCAAATGCTCTGTTGTGGCATCTCTTACACACACATCCTTGCAGCTATTAGACATGAAAGGAGCTGATAAGGACGCTCATTTTTCCCCAAAAGCTCTATTGTGGCATCTCTTACACACACATCCTTGCAGCTATTAGAAACCTCTCCACAGTGGTGGCTGGAGTGTTAAGAAATCTTGTAGCTGCCACTGCCAAACTCCACGGAATATTGTCACTGCTGGCGTCCAACTTCCTTCTGTTTCCCCTCTCCCTTCCCTGTCACTGCTTTCTCCTGGAGCCTTTCCTATTTCATTTCTCGTGGCCTTTCTTATCCCTCCTCCCACCGGCTGGGGTTTGGTTTGTGTTTCCCTTTGCAGAGGGTGGCAAAGCTAAGTTATAAAGCTGTAGCTCCTTCAAGATCAGGCATTTCAGTGCCTGCTGTAGCAGAAAATCCAGGAGGATTAGTCACTTCCTCATGTTCCAAGCTCCAGCTGTAGCCGGAGGCCTGAGGAGGAGACGCAGCCTGAGGCGAGAGGCCTGAGGAGGAGACGCAGCCTGAGGTGACACGCTCTGTGCTCTCCCTCCTGCTTTATTACCCCAACGACTCCCTTTCCCCCCGTTGCTTGGCACTGTCTGATTCTGATTTTTGACAGAAACACGTTGAAACCGCCCTGTTTTGTTCCCGCTGAGCTTTACACCTCTCCTTGGCGGCCCTGCCCTGTTTGCCCCACTCATCCCACCTCCGTTTGCTGGAGCCGGCGGGCAAAGATCTCTGTCGCTCCCTGCTCCTCCCATTTCCCGGGGGCTCGCCAGCTCTTTTTGTTGGGATTTTTTCCCCCGTGTGGGCGCTTGTGCGGGTCCTGGGGTGACCCGGGCGCCCTGGCAAGGCTGTGAGGCGGGGCTGAGGCGGCCCTCCATTTCCAGCACCGCCGTGAACCCACAGGCACGAGGCGTTTCCGTAGTGTAGTGGTTATCACGTTCGCCTAACACGCGAAAGGACCCCGGTTCGAAACCGGGCGGAAACACCAGCCGGGATGGCTTTTTTTAAAAAATCCTCTAATCCATTTTATTTACCGACCTGCGGTGCAGGGTAATGACCAACACCGTGTCTGATCACTCCAACCACCCCGCGGTGTCACGGCCCTCCCGTCCCCCCGGCTCCGTTCCCCTTCACTGTCCCAAAGCGACTACATCTCCCGGCATGCACCGCTCCTCGCCACAGCTAACGGCGGGCCCTGCTGCTGCGCGCTGCATCATGGGAGGTGTAGTCCGCGCCACCCCGAGCCTCCCGGGAAGCCGTTCGCCGCCCAGCCCTGCCCGTTCCCTTCAGGGGGACGGGTGATGACACCGTCCGCGTTTCTCACTCTGCTGCCGGTGCCACCGCTGGTCCCCAACCCCCCAACCCTCAGGAGCGGGACACCGGAAGCCACGTCCCGGAAGCGGCGCGCGGGGTGTCATCAGAACATGGCGGCCTGAGGCGAAGGCGCCCCTTCCCTTCCCCTCCGCAGGTGCGTGAGGCGCCGCCGCCGCCCTCCTACCGGGCCGGGGGCGGCTGCAACGGGGCGGGCGGGCAGAGCCGCGGGGGCACGGGTGGCGCTCCGTCAGCCGGGACCGGGCACGGGGGTGGCGGGGTCGGGCCCGGGCCCGGTGGAGGGCCGCGGCGGGGTCGGGCGCTGCGGGCCCCGTCCCGTCCCGCGGCCAGGCCGAGCTGAGGGGATGGCGGCTGCCCGTGTGCCGCCGGTGTCCCGTCTGCTCTCCTGACGGCCGGGCGGTCCGGCTCTCGCGGCCCCGTTGGCCCCTAGGTTCCCCCTGGGCTCTGCCTGGCCCCGGGGAGCGGGGCCGTGTCCCCGGGTGCGGCCGCCCCCGCCGCCGGAGCCGCGTTGGGTCCCAGCCTCTGGTGGAGCAAGGCGCTCCCGGCAGCCCGGTTCTGACACGACAGCTCACAAGCTTAGGGCAGCTAATCCTCTGAGGTGGCGGGGGCAGAGTGTACCCGCGTCCCTGCCCTCTCCCCCTTGTGCTGCCTCTAAAATTAGCGGCTCCCCCGGTAAAGAAGGATCCACCCCCGTCTGGCTCCATCTCTGACAGAAGCCCTACGACACAAACTATCCCGCAGGATTCGAACAGCAAGACTTTTGTAATCATTAACTTACTCTGTTAGGGGGGGAACCAAAGTTAAATCTTGTGCGTAGATCAGTATTTTATTATTTTTGGTGTTTTTTTGCTTTCCCAGAGCAGAACAAAGAGGCTGCGGGTTGTTTCCAAGATGCAGTATTCCCATCACTGTGAGCACCTTTTGGAGAGGCTGAACAAGCAGCGAGAGGCCGGTTTCCTCTGCGACTGCACCGTCGTTATCGGTGAATTCCAGTTCAAAGCGCACAGAAACGTGCTGGCCTCTTTCAGCGAGTACTTTGGGGCGTTCTACAGAGACGCGTCCGACAACAACGTTGTTTTGGATCAGACTCAAGTGAAAGCTGATGGATTCCAAAAGCTGCTGGAATTTATTTATACGGGAAACTTAAACCTTGACAGGTAACATAAGCTGCTATTAAAGGGGGAAGGAGAATAGGAAAATAAACTTTGTCTTAAGGCAGTACTGTTTCTTTTTGGTTTTTTTGTAATAAGTTCTGGAGGGACAAATAATAGCAGGTGTGATACATATTGACAAGTTGAAGATTATCTGTTTGTATGTTTAAAATACCACGTGGTATGTGAGTGCCAAATCAAAGGGGTGTTGTCTGATATTTCACTGATGGATGGTTCTTTTCTGAGGGTTTTTGTCTGGATTGGAAGGAATTAACAATCCTGTGTGATCGCTGAAGGAGAGGGAAGGATAAGTTGTGAGTGCCAAATAAAAGGGGTGTTGTCTGATATTTCACTGATGGATGGTTCTTTTCTGAGGGTTTTTGTCTGGATTGGAAGGAATTAACAATCCTGTGTGATCGCTGAAGGAGAGGGAAGGATAAGTATATTCTTTCTGAATTTGGCTTATTTTGCAGAGGACGTGCAGAAACTGTGTATGCCCTAGGGACTGAAGTCTGAGGAATGGGTGATCATGGGCATGATTTAAAAAAAACCCTTTTTTGTTAGAATTTGCATGGTCTGTTACTTAAAACCTTGTATAACAGTTGCCAAAATGAGTCGGAGAAAAAGTGTTTCCCCTCTTACAGCGCTGATTTTATGCACGTTGTGTGTGTCGTGTAAAGTGAGGGTACTTTATAGTGCTTCTCTCTGAGGGAAAGACAGACATTATCCCTCACGAGGGGAGTGTGACAGCTTAAAAGCACATAGCACAGAATTTCAGCTCCTTTCTCCTTGTGTGCTGTCAAATGCATTTCAAAAAAGCTTTGTTGCTGTTGATACCTGAAAGCTCCTGCCTGATAATGTAAGTATGCAGGTGCAGGGTGTTCGTTTGGGTTGGTTTTTTTTAATTTAGCTACAAATATTAAGGGTAACAGATGAGTGTGCAGGGCCGTGTGGCGGAGTTAGCGACTGATGCTTTGCAAATGACCCCCGAGCAGGAGCGTGCAGCCTCCTGGGCGTCTCTCTGGGACCAGCAGCAGGAGAGTGTCTGGGTTCATTCTGAGCACTTGAGATCTCTGAAGGCCGAGGAAGGTGAAAGTACAGTTCTTACCCAGGGAGAACTATTTGACTAAAGATGACACCTGCAGGTCTGCCCCACGTCATCTGGTGCTGTGTCTGCCCATTCTGTTGTCTTCTGTGGAGCTGGGTGCATGAGTGACACCAGGAAGGTCTGCTTTGAATTCAGTGCTAGCGTAATACAGGATGTTAAAACAGTTGTATTCATGGACAGAGAGTAACTATGGCTTGTTATTTACCTTTTAATTACATTTACTGTGTAATAGATTGTTAGAATGATGTTGTTTACCATTAATCACTCTTTAAAGTGCTGTAAATCCATAGATTCGTTGGTGTTGCCGCTTTTCCAGGTTATTTTTTTCTAAACCATCGAGGCCTGGGTTGCAGGAACCAAAAAGTACAGAGTAGTAGCTTAAATAAGGAACTTCCTTGGTGTTAATGTTGTCTGTGTGCAGCTGATGCAGAATTAGGACTGTTTGCAAATCGTTTTATAAAACAAGATTAATACCTGCCTCGCAGAAGTGCTGAGGTGCTTGTGAATTACTTAAGACTTTTGGTGGATTATAGAATGGCGATTTATGCTTTTTATTCTCTGGTGTTTTATCCTTTTTTTGCTGTGATTTCTGAGCCTTTTGGACCAAGGACCCCATGTTTAGCCTCACCAATTTACGATTGGACTTTTAACTTAAAAATTCTACAAAAGGCACGTAGCTGGAAATAAAATTCTTGGTTCTGTGGATCTGCAGAGCCCGGCAGGTGTGGGCCATGGGAGGAATTGTACTGGTGTCTTAGGGCACTACAGCACTAAGGGATTTGATCTCACTGTGTATGTTCTCAAAGATACATCTTCTGAGAGTGTAACTTTTCTGTAGCTGTGCTGTCTGCACTTGCTAAAATCGATACAGAAGAAATGTTTGCTTTGTGCAGAATATTGTCACCCAATATCGTCTTGTTTTCTTGCAGCTGGAACGTGAAAGAAATTCACCAGGCTGCCGACTATCTCAAAGTAGAAGAAGTGGTCACTAAATGCAAAATCAAGATGGAAGACTTTGCTTTTATTGCCAATCCCTCTTCTACAGAGACATCTAGTATCACTGGAAACATTGAAATGAATCAGCAGACTTGCCTTCTGACTCTCCGAGATTACAGTAATCGGGAGAAAGCAGACGCTGCTTCTGCAGAGTTGGTTCAACCACAGGCAAAGAAAACAGCTTTAGAAAAGAAATCTCCTCAAACCAAAAAGCGAAAGAAGAATTTCAGCTCCCCCAAAAACACCCAGAATAAATCTGTACAATATCAGAACGACGGGACCGAGAACACGTCCATTGAAATGTTTTTGGATGCAAATAAGCTGGCCACCCAGATCACGGAACAGGCCGCCCAAGGCGGCGATAACTCCGAGCTACAGCTGGCAGCTGTGGTGGAAAGTGAAACGTTGGCAGCTCAGGACATCCTAGTCCAGACTATTGCAGCCAAACGGAAACGGGGAAAGCCTCAGCAGAGCTGTGCCCTGAAGGAGCACTGCATGTCCAACATAGCCAGCGACAAGAACGCTTACCAGCTGGAGAGTTCGGGGGAAGAGCTCGACCAGAAGTACTCCAAAGCTAAGCCGGTGTGCAACACGTGTGGAAAAGTCTTCTCAGAAGCCAGTAGCCTCCGTCGACACATGAGAATACACAAAGGGGTGAAACCCTACGTGTGTCAGCTCTGCGGGAAGGCCTTCACCCAGTGCAATCAGCTGAAAACACATGTAAGGACTCACACAGGTAAGCTGCTGGCCTCGTCTCCTGGACTGCGGAGACCTGTCGTCACAGCCTGTGAATACAGGGCTAAAAAGGTCTCTTTGCATTCTGACTTCTTCCTCTGGAAATCTAGTTTGCTGCTGCTGCTCATACAGGAGCAGTACCTATATCCTGGTTGCATTTTTCAGTACATTATCATAGTTTCTACTTTAAACAGCTAGAGAGGACTTTATTAGTCTGAGCGTCTTGATTTCTGGAAAGACTGGGAAGAGCTGGCTACTCTTTAACTCTGTAGAGTGATGGAGTGCCAAAATCTATTGCCAGTAGAACATGACAAACTCACAGTACTTGATACCAGAATTTTTGTTGCTTTTTTTTAAACTTCAGATCAAAATATGTTTGATAACAGAAGTGGGAAAAAATGCAATCTGGTGGCAAGTAGGTGACTTCTCCCATAGGGCCTTCAAAAAAGGTAGGGGAAGTGGCTGAATTACAACAGCATTTGGGATTTTATTTAGTGAAACGTGCAATGATGTTACGATCTCTGCATTCAGTAACATTACCAGAAGTTTGTGCTATATCAAGAACTACTCTTCTCATCAAAAAGAAATCAGATATGAACACTTACCCGTTAAGACAATGTCTGACTTCAGCCTGGGGAGATGTGCAGGAGAAGTACTGGGCTTGTTTGTCTTTTTGTATGTTCTTCCCTGGAGACGGAAGGCTTGATGTGGGGTTAGTTCACTCTTCAGGCTGGTCTGGCATAGCTGTTCTGCTGTTGCCTCTGCTGCTGTACTTAGCCCAGTGAGCAGCAGAGGGACCTGGTTTACGTAGTTTTCTTCCTTCTGTGGCTGGCATTCAGAATTCTGAAGTAACAGTAGATCAGATTTTTTAAAAATGTTTTTTTTTGCTCTTTTTTCCCCTTTGGAAAACTCTGAGGCCAGCAGTGGAGCTCTTTCCAGGAAGCTGTGAAGAGGTGGAGTAGGAGGTGTTGAGGTACAGGAGAACTTGCTCTTTCAGTAACTAAGGGAGAGCATTCCCAATGTTGTCAGCCAGTGACTAACCAAAAATTCGTGTGCGACACGGAGCTTGTGAGCAGTGTCCAGGGACAGTTTGCTGGTGGGAGCCTCAGCTGCGCTTTCTGCCTCTGAGGGTATTGCACTGGGAATTTTGGCACGAGCAGGTAGGAAATTTGACAGTGTTTGTTGCTAGATGGCAGGTGAGAGGCCTAATACTTATATTTTTGAAGTTTTCATGAAGAGAATATACTTAAGAATTGTTGAGTTCTTCATTTGATTGTGCAGTGCCACAGAAATGCAGAGACAGGCTCTTTTGTATTGCCACTAAGACTGTGGAGTTGCACGATCCGTTGCACGAGACCGTATCCACCACTAAGAGAACACCAATAGTCAGAGAAGCACCTGCAGTGTTCTGCAGCAGACACTAATGAGAAATTAGTGAGCACTAGACTAGACGTTGCAGACCTGTTGCTTTTGGACAGGCAAGAAAGAGCAGATCATTTACTGATTGTTCATCTTGAATATTCAGAATCACCAATAGACATAACCAGCAAAAAGTCTGAAAATGTAGTAGTAGCACTGTAAAAATAATGTGGGGAAAATGGCACTATTAAAAATATTATTACCTTTTTTCCCCCAAAAGGTAATGTGTTCAAAAATAATCTGTTATTTTGCTGTATTCCTGGCACGTTCCACTCCAGTGGACTTGGTGACGGGATGTTCCAGGATGTCATTTGTGAGGAGGATTAGAGCAGACACCGGAGCTTTGGTCAGGTGATGGATTGAAAAGCAATTTGTGAGGATTAGAGCAGACACCAGAGCTTTGGTCAGGTGATGGATTGAAAAGCACGAGGGGCTTATTTTTTCCCTAGGGGAGAAGCCATACAAGTGTGAACTGTGCGACAAAGGCTTTGCTCAGAAGTGCCAGTTGGTGTTCCACAGTCGGATGCACCACGGAGAGGAGAAACCCTACAAATGCGATGTCTGCAACCTGCAGTTCGCGACTTCCAGCAATCTGAAGATCCACGCCAGGTAGGCAAAAGTCAGCTCCTGCAAATGCTTCTCTGTGGGTTTATTTAAACAGAAGAACCTGCTCCAGCGAGAGCAAGAGTTATACATTCATGTAATTTGGTCATTTTTACTCCTTTTCTCGTGGGGCTTCTCTCACGCTGCGTAACAGAATAATTACATCTGTGTACTTGCTCATTAGGGAGGTGATTCGTGATTTCTCCATGTTACAGCCTACACACAGGTATCCTTCTGGCAACAACGTGAAGGCTTTTGTTTTGTTTTGTTTTAAACTGCTTGTAGCACCACAGAAGAGAGAGTTCCTTGATGGGGAGCGAAACAGAACAGTTCTCACTGTTCTCCTCTCTTTGCATTTTTTGGCAAGAGCAGGAATTATGTTCCCTTGTTAGGAATCCTGGTTTTATCTTTCAGTACACTCTGATGCAAAAGGTGCTGGGTTCTCCTGGTGCATGTGACATGTGCAGGGCCTGTCCTTTGGTTCAGCTGCCACTGAAATCACGGATGTGCTAATTCCTAGAATCAACAGACAGTGAATTCCTGTGAAAAAATACTAACTCAAAACCAAACTCACAGGTGTTATATTATAGATATTTTTTTTTGAGTTCACGGCACATTAGCACAAGGAACTTTGGGGATAAAGTTCTATTTGAGGAAAGTGACTTAGTGGTGGGTGCTGCTTCCTTTTCTGCCCGGAGCTCATTGATTCCCCTGTTGGTTTGCAGGAAGCACAGTGGTGAGAAGCCCTACGTGTGCGATCGGTGCGGGCAGCGCTTCGCTCAGGCCAGCACCCTCACCTACCACGTGCGCCGGCACACGGGGGAGAAACCCTACGTGTGTGACAGCTGTGGAAAAGCCTTTGCTGTCTCAAGTTCTCTCATCACCCATTCCCGAAAACACACAGGTAGGGGAAGGACAGAGCCTGGGGAGGGGGAGGACTGGCTGCCTTCAGAGGGCTTGGAATAGGTGATGAGCAGGAAATCTGTAGCTTGGGAGTTCACAGAATCACAGAATCACAGAATCTTAGTGGTTGGAAGGGACCTCTGAGATTATCGAGTCCAACCACAAAAAAAACAAACAAACAAACAAACAAAAAAAAACCCAACAACCAAACAAATACAAAACACACCACACCAAACGCCCACCAAAAGCACCGCACCGACCAACTAAACCCCACACTCAACACCTCACCATAAACCAATATCCTTGGGCACTAGAGCATGCCCTGAAGAACCATGTCTATACGTTTCTTAAACACCTCCAGGGATGGTGACTCCACCACCTCCCTGGGCAGGCTGTTCCAGTGCCTGACCACCCTCTCAGTAAAGTAGTTCTTTCTAATATCTAATCTAAATCTCCCTTGCCCCAACTTCTGACCATTTCCTCTGGTCTTGTCGTTTGTCCTTTGGGAGAAGAGACCAACACCTGCCTCTCTCCACCCTCCTTTCAGGGAGTTGTAGAGGGCAATGAGGTCTCCCCTCAGCCTCCTCTTCTCCAAACTAAACATGCCCAGTTCCCTCAGCCTCTCCTCACAGGACTTGTTCTCCAGACCCCTCCCCAGCTTGGTGGCTCTCCTCTGGACACGCTCCAGCACCTCAATGTCCTTCCTGTAGTGAGGAGCCCAAAACTGAACACAGTACTCGAGGTGAGGCCTCACCAGTGCCGAGTACAGAAGCACGATGACTTCCCCCAGAGCTGTTGTCCAGCTCCCTTCTCGTGTCCTTTCCCTTTGACTCTAGTTTAGGGAGCTCTTTCTCCCCTTGGATGTTACCTCTGTTTCATTTTGATTTGTTCTTTCTGTGCGTTCTGGTTTATACATTGAAATAACAAACTCCTTGTGTTTCCTGTAGGAGAGAAGCCATATATCTGTGGCATTTGTGAAAAGAGTTTTATTTCCTCTGGAGAGCTCAATAAACATTTTCGGTCCCATACAGGTCAGTTTCCAGACAGGCTGCTTCCTGCACTATAAATAATATTCTGCCTTTACCCTTTTGCCTTTAAAATACACCATATTGTGCTGTACTTGAAAGTTGTAGCATTTCTTAATTTATGTATCCCTTTTAACGTAATTTAAAGAAAGTATTTGTGACTTTTTTTTTTAATTGCCTTTTTCAGACAGATATCTCTAACAGCGTAGGTGTTGATGTATGATCAGGGCTTCTGACATTTGGGGTTTTTTGCTTTGTTTTAATCTTATCTCTAACAGCGTAGGTGTTGATGTATGATCAGGGCTTTACTTCTAACATTTGGGGTTTTTTGCTTTGTTTTAATCTATTATTCTGGAAACAATTTTATTCTGAATACAGACACAGACAAATTAATAGTTACAAAGTTGTATTTTAAAATACAACATCGAAATCGTTTTATTCTGAATACACAGACACATTAATAGTTACAAAGTTGTATTTTAAAATACAACATCGAAATCCATTATCCTGAATCTTTAACTGTTTTCTCTTTCAATTTCAAGATTGTTCTAACTGTCAAACCATTATTTTTTTTTTTTCAGGTGAAAGACCATTTATCTGTGAAATGTGTGGAAATTCTTACACAGATATAAAAAACCTTAAGAAGCACAAAACAAAAGTTCACACAGGTGAGTTCCTTGTGCAAACGAAGTTGAAGAAGCTACATCAACTGCTTTGTCTTCAATGCTGGGTAATACATTAAATTTTTTTGCTCATCCAGGCCTACAATGAGAAAATAAAAGGTTTTTAGATAGTAGCTCTCTTTAGAGCCAAAAGCACCCCTTTATGAGGTACCCAAGCCTTTTAAAGCAAAAGTCCATGCTTTAAAGTAGGTTTGAGATGAATTTTCAAGCTTTTGCATTGCTACAGCAAACGCATGTTGAGCGACATAGAAACATTTTGCTGCTGATAAGAATTTCTGGTTGTGAATATTTGCTTTCTTGTTCCAAGTAACTTTGTGAGAGCTTCCCACATGAGGGCATAGTCTGAATTGGAGGAAATATTTTTTCCTCTTCTGAATACATCAAAGGAGTACATGTTTATGAGGGCAGTAACTGAGGTGAACAGGGCATACTGGTTACAGGAATTACTTTACACCTTGAAGGCATGAATATTTTTAATGCAACGGTGAAAGATTTGCTTATTGATGCAGTCAATGTTAATCCACGTCTGAGCTGGATTAGCAAAGCCCACCCCCGTGGCAAAATGTTCCCAGCTGCGATTACTGCTCGAAAAAGACACTTCAGATACATTCTCTTCCTACTCTAGATGCCAGGTTTTGATGAGGAAGAAATTGGATGTGTATTACTTGCCTACGGTACCAAGCACAGAGATGTTCAGATGGCCAGTCTCTTTCAACGCTGGCTCCGTGCACCTCGTTATCTCTCCATCCTTAAGTGTATTAACCCTAATTCCCTTGCCTCTGTGATATGGAAAAGGGAATAATAGGTGTCTGTGTGCACCTGGGTTGGGTCAGATGGAGCAGGCGAGGGAGAGGATGAGAAAACAAGAGTCTTTGAGTGTCAAAAGCTTGAGAAGGCCCCACTGGAAGCAAGAGTGAGGGGAGAAGAGCAGCAGCGAGTGGGGAGAGCCCCAGGTGGGAGCTGAGAGAGCTGCTGGGGCAGGTCAGCTCACAGAGAGACAGAAGTGCTTCACCACTGAAATAACAGGCTTCAGAGCACACTTTGATAGAGAAAGGGTCAAACATCCGATGTGGCTTCATCAGAAAGCAGTCCAAGAGCAGTGGTGGGCTGCATTCAAACAGGAAAGCAATGAGGAGTCGATTAGCAGTGATTTCAATTAACAGAAATTAGAAATTAGAAAATAATTTCTCAGCTGACTGGATAAAAACTGTAAGGGGTCTGACTGGAATGAAGTTAACAAATGTTTTCTTCCAAGGAAGCTTGTGGATACATGATATATTGTACGTTGCTATCTCCATTAAAAGAGAATGCTTGGATGTGGCTGTGGTTCTTAGATTTTCTGGGGTAGAAAATCTCAAGGAAACCTTCAAAATTACATTTTCTCCAAGGCTCCTTTGCTCACCGGGATGTTAAGGTTTCATTACCCTCTGTACCATGCCAAGGAGAGATGGAGCTGGAATGCCTCAGCAGAGGATGTGATTCTTAGGGCTTGCATTGTATTTACAGCTCATTCTGGCTTCAGGGCACATCGAAACCACCAATAGCCCAACTGCCCAGGCAGTTTTTGACACACCAAGTGTGTGTTTTCACAGTCAGTCAAAAGGGAATTTGCAGAATTTGCCCAGTGGCTTTTGAACATTTCTTCCTTTTTTATTTTTCCCCAGGATCTGAAACTCCCCCTGATTCTAATGCACTTGATAATTCTTTCAACGAGCAAGAATCCATTCAGAGTCAGAAAAGTCCTTTATCGGAGTCCATAGACGTGAAGCCCTCGGAGATGTCTTTAGCACTTCCTCTTCCCATCGGGACCGAAGACCATCAGATGCTGCTTCCCGTGACGGGGAGTCAGTCTCCTTCCTCAGAAACCTTACTGAGATCTGCTGTGACTGGCTATTCAGAACCTCAGTTTATTTTCTTGCAGCAGTTATACTGACGGGGCGGTGCAGAGCCAGCCAGGTTCATGGTAAGATGAACACGATCAAGCTAAGCGAGCAGTCACACACTTTCTGAATTGGACTTGTTCTTTTTTTTTTCCTCTGTGTAAAGGCATTTCCATTGGGCAGTGCTGTCTTTTGGGGTTTTTGTTGAATTGTGCTAATCTACAATCAAATTTCTATTTGCAATTCACATGGATTTCCAGGAGAGGATTCCTTTCCAGCAACACCTGCCTTAAGAATTCTCTGTTAAAATATGTTCATGTATTTTGGAGATCTCCTCCCATGTTCCTGCTGGTCTGATGGGTCACAGTGTCATTTGAGAGCAGACGTTTTAAGCCATATTTGATAGTTTAAGAACATTAACCCAGAGGTAGAAAGGGAAAATGATAATTTGATTGTACTCCTGCATTGCGAGGTGGTACAATGGTTGATGATGGAAGGGAGCCCAGTGCTCTGGTGAGGTGCTTGCAAAGAATCACTGCCAGAAGTAGCCATTTGTAGTTGAGGGAAAGAAAGTTTTGTGTGTGTTTTCCTGACAAGGCAAGTAAGGCAGGGTTACGGGGGTCTTTTCTGTAATGTGATAGTTAAAGGTTTCTAATGGCATAGATTTTACTGGGTGTTCTTTCCAACAAGTCACTTTTTGGGGGTTTCAAGTGAATCCGGCATTGTTGTATCTCATCCTAGATTTATTTTTCACATCCCTAAAAATGCCCTGGTTTTGGCACAAACAGCAGCATTTGCTCAGAAGGAGAGCCGGAACGTGCACGTCGTAGGTGAGAGGAAAAGATGCATTGACTTCATTGTGAGGCATGAATCACAGCTTCATAATCCTTTTTTTTTTTTTTTTTTTTTTTTTTTTTTTTACAGTAGTGCTTCTCCTTGAGCTAGGCAGTAGGTACAAAAGAGGAAATAAATCCTGCCCTTCACTGTGAAAATAATAAGCGAACGCTACACGAGGGGGCATTAAGGAAGAATAAATACAACAGAGCAGATTGATGTTCTTCCAGGCAAGGTTTTGTTCGTGAAGGACTGCTTTGTTTTAATTGAAGTATTTGTGTATTGCTTTGCTTCTCATGTCACTTGTCCTCAGTAACTGCACAAAACTGGTATCTAGCAAGACTCATGTAAAGGTATGTTTTATTATTAGCAATGTACATTTTTTTAAAAAGCAACGTTTTTAATGTCTTGGTAGGGTCATTAGTTAAAGACTAGTTGACAACAGGAGTACTTTTATACTCCGTTTTGCCAGTTTGTGCCATTAACATAATGTAAGCATTATTTAAGTAATCATCAAATAGTAAGGAAATAGTCATAATACTGTACCAACAATGCATTTAAAGATATTCTTTGTTGGTTATTTACTTGGTGCTAGCATTTTATTTCCACTGATGCCTTGTGTCCAGACACTGATACATAGAAGAGCATAGGAGATACCTCTTAACTGATTCTGTTCTACATGGAGTAATAATTAATCTGCACCTTAATTAAACAGACTTGTGAAAAAATTCTTGGAGGATTTAATTTAAGTATTCTGCAAATGGTCCTTTGACTCCTGAGCGTGACTATAGAATTATTTATTCTTTTTTCCCCTCTTCCTACACGTTTATACTTATAAAGTCATAGACCTTTTGCTGCTTTGTGTTGATCATCTTAGTAGGTGGCACATTCAAAACTCTGCTTCTTTATGCTTTAATATATGGCTGATAAAGTCTGCCACGGAGAGGAAGGAGTACAGCTGTGCTCAGAGGCACGTTCTCAGTGCAGTGAAGCTCATTATTACCACACCTGCCCAACTTTTATTTGCTTTGCTTATCTGTGCTGCAACTACAGGTGATGTCCCTCATCAAAGCAAGGCAAAGGACAATGGATGAAGATCTCTGTTTGGGTTTTTTTCAGCCATTTCTTTGGCATTTCCCCCTTTCCTCCCCTGTCTTCTCTTTTAGCTTCTCTTTATGTAGCACCTGAAGGATTCCTTGGCCTTGCCCTTGAAGACTGAAGAACCACAAAGAATCAGGATCTTGACTCTGTGTAAAACAAACCCAACTCTGTGTAGCGTGTCCTAAGGTTCTTCTTTACTTTCTCACTCTGAAAACAGAGCAGAAACTTGGGATAGGCCATAAGCTTAGTCACAAATGCTGAAACAGAACAATGCCCTACAATTGATAAATTTCATATTTAAACAGCTTTGGAAGATAAACTAATGATACGCTGCTGTTATCTGACAAAAAGTAGCTGAAGATGAACATATCCAGGATAAATGACTGCAAGAGAGAACTAGCTCTGGAAAAAATAGAAGAAAAAAAATCACATTCCTGCATAGAAAATGCATTCCATAACAATGTTTGTTTGGACTGTTTTTATATTTCTAAAATTATAGCTTATTACTGTATTCTTAGATTTCAGACTTTTTTAAAAAATACAGTGCTTAGATTTATACAGGATTTGTTTAGATACTTATAACAGTAACACTTGCTTTATTAGTCATTTAGTTTTCTTTATAGACAAGAAGATAATCATTATTTTTTACAAGACAACAATTTTAACCTTTCTTAATAGAATACACAGACTTATAGTTTTGTCTGGAAGCAATAATTTAGTGACCTGCACTCTTGAGTCCCCATCTGAGAGTCTTGATTTTTATCCTCATCTTTCATGAAGATATCTCAGCTGCTGAGGTATGATCTCTATGAACTGTATTCATTTACTAGAATATAGATTTTAAATATATATATATATATATATAAAAAAAAAGAATTGTAGGTGTTTTCAGGCTGGGTGCTGTAGGACCTGAAGAAGCAGGTCTGGGCTGTACCTTTTGTCAGTAGATGCATGGAAATCAGCTGGACATCTAACTTCTAGGATTCTGAGGTCATTTTGGAGGTACAAGGTTTATAACAATATTGATAATTTCTGTTAGGGATTAACGTGGGAAAGCATGGAATCGTTTTAGGCAGACAACTCCTTCTTGAGTCCTACCTGCAAAATGAAAGGTAAAATTTTAATAATTCCATTTACAGTAATTCAGAGAAAACGACATGATTCGCCACACCGTTGTTTCAGTACCGTTTCAGTTGATTTTGCACCAAAGTCGGTGCAAGTTTTGCCTGAGTAGGTTATTCTGCATCTAGAAATTTCTCAATTGGCTGTTCAGAAATACTTAGGTGAGAATAGCTCCTTGTAGGACACTGACTTCCAAATGCCTGCCGAAATGTGGGCACAAAGAATGACAACTTCTCTGAAATCATGTGTTTCAAAAAAAACTTTCAAGTGTGGACAAGTTCAGGATTTCAGGGCTGTGATCTCGGAGAGGCTATCGATAAGCCTTGCAGAATTAAGTTCAGATAAGGACTAATAATTGATTTTTTGGGGGTTAAATTATTTTAAAAATATCTTTCATGTATATACAGTTTTTTTCCTCTGTTATTTGTATATAGCTCAACTCTCAATTTTATAATCCCCTGGGAGGGGGAGGGAGTTGTACATATTTAGCCTGAAGTGTTTTATGTTAGACTTTAATAAACTTGTTTTGTAATTTTCCCCTCACCTCGTGTCTCCTGTTTGTAACTGCGAGGGGGTAGAGCAGAAGGAGGAGGGAGGTGGTGGAAGGTAACCCCCATTGGGGGGATACACGGTGGCCCTTCGTGGGCCTACCTTTTCTTCTTGGCAGTAAAAGCACCAGTTTTTTCTCATAGAAAACATCGTGGGTCTGTTCAAACTAAATTAAACAAAAACTTTAAATACAATCTGGTATAATGACTCTTAGGTTAATTTTTTTTTTCATTTGTTTGTTTTGGGGTATTTGAGGGGGCAGAGAGACAGCTCCGTGTCAACTTGTGTGTGGCAGAACAACCACACCTGCTCTGGGGGCTGACCTGTGAGTCCTCTGATGATACTACGTGCTTTTTGGACCAACAGAACCAGAATAATTTGTGTTTGGGGAGAGGGAGAGAAAAATAATCTCAACACTGACAACAGCTATCAGTACTGGTGGTTTCAGCTGGCGAGGGGTCTCCATCCACCTCCCTGCCCGTACGCTACCACTGTCATAATACAGAATCAGAACATCAGCAGTTATATTGCTGCTGCGTAGGAATTCTTGAAATCACTCTTTTTTTTTTCTTATTTTTTTTCTTATTTCTTTTCCCCCCTCATACTTTCATCTCATAGGTCTTTTGCCTGTGTGCACATAATTCAAGAATTATTCTGTGACCTATTCTAATTTTTAACGGGCACATTTAGAAGTGCACAAGATTGCACTAGTGAAAGCCTTTGAGCAAACCTCTGCTTTCCTTGGTGACTCTTTCTGTTTAGGAGCATCAATCCAGTCACCGCTACAGGTACAAGCCGAGTGATTTCCAATTTTCTAAGAAGTCTGTATCCAAACCATTAAACAATTTTTAACTACCATTATACGCATATGTTGTCTTATTCACATCTAGGAGTTGCCACGTGGCTGCCACAATATACATCTTTTTAAACAGTTTCCAAGAGACAGGAAGAAATAATGAAACCGAGTTTGGTGGTTTTCTTTTGTAGTGCAAGAAACAAGTACATGCTGCAAGTGAATCAAAATACCATTTCTATACCAGTGAACAAAGTTCACTGGCTTTAAAGTTCCAGCGTTAGAGTGGCTTTAATGCTTAAGTTCGTTTAACTTGATTAAATAAAAAAGAAGTCACTCTTGGATAAAAAGATCAAAGGAGAGAGTATATAGAGCTCAGTAGCAACAAAGGGGTTTACCCAAACCTCTCTCAGCTTCAGCAGGAGCCTTGTCCTACAGCGTGTCTGCTTTGCAGTCCAGGGGCAGCCCTGGGTGTAAGTGTTTGGGGGTTTGATGTGCTGGGACGCAGGGATGTCACCTGTGGGCTCTCCCGGCTACGTGTCTCCTCTTGGCATCTTATTACACTAAATTCATCTGTCACCTGGGAACCCTGGACCTACATCTGATCACTGTAAAGCAAAGGAGATAGCGTGTAATAGAAAGAACTCCAGAAAAATTAATACATTTCCACATTAATAAGTCTTTAATATTAAACTCGTGCGTTTTTAGCAACAAATTTTAAGGTCACTGCTTCCATATTTTATCTCTAATTCCACTTTAGACCACAGACCCTGAAAACACAACATTCAGCAAGTTGGGTACTGACAGAATCTATTTGACTAGAAACAAGACAGGAAAACTTGAAGCACGTGGAGGGCATCCAGCTGCCACCACCTCACTCACAAGTGCTCTGACACCGCGGTGACTGCCAGGCTGGCGTTGGCGTCCCTGTTTGTCCCCTCCCCACAGCTGGGTGTCCAGTAGTAGTGCTTCTTGAGGCCATAGGAGAGCTCTGCCAGGTGAACGTGCCCCTCCACTTCATAGGGCTCCACGTCCGTACGGTTGGGTTTCAAGCGGCCCGTCTCAATTAATTCTGAAAACGCCTGAAATGAGTAAAGGAAAAAAAAAAAAAAAAGAACCTGCCATGTAATATTTCACTTTGACTGCAGTGAAGGCTCTAGAAGATAACACGCAGGAGGTGAGTACTCAATCATTTCAGTACGCTGATGTCCAGTGAGTCTCATTACAGCACCACCGTATTATGTTTATTTAAAACCAAAATAAACCAGACTAAAACAGGTATCTTGCTCACAAATTGCTGTAGCAGTCCCAAAGATTGTAAAACAACAAACAAACAAAACCCAGCCCTCTTACCAGAGTTCAGGAGCAAACACTTACTATACAGGTGGCTTCGTCAAATTTGTTCCCCCAAATGTAAATATAGGAGAGTTCCATGTTTGCTTTCATTGCATCCGCAAGAGCTGTAAGTCCTTTGCCACTTATATTGTTGCTTACTACTGACAACCTAAAAACCAGAGAAAATAGTTAGGCAAATGTGTGGCAAACCACAGAATTCCCATCTCTTAGTTAAAACCAAGAGTTTAAACTAAGAGATTTATTCTTATTTTGTATTGTCTCATCGTAAATTATTATATATCATATATTGTATGTCGATTGCAATTTTATGTTTGTTAATAACGTAATTTTTTTATTTGTGTCAAGCCCAGTCCTACTTTAAAATCTTTTTTGGGGTCGCTAAAGGGAGTTTGGACTATAGAGGTGGTATTTCTCGAGGCATCACTGTGCCTCATGCAGGCAGGTTGCTCACTACTTAGTTCTTCAGCCTCAGTGACTTCCCTGCGTGGTGGCCAGGTCTCATCTCTCGTCTGCCCTGAAGCCCAGGCCTTGGCATTTATCCAGGCTAAGCTTTGATCTTTGCAGAGAGGCAGTTATTTTTATATTAGTGAACCTGGAAGGCTTTCAGAGGCACCTTGCAGCCGCCACCTCCTCAGCCCTGCTACTTAAAACCAATGGCTTCAGGTAACACCTTTGATCAGCTTTTACATCCTGCCGGCGCAGGGTTTAACGCCGGCTACAAAATACACCCTGGTGGGGAGATTACAGCTCTTTTGGGTTCACCCGGAAGCAAAGGGAGGATTTTCTTAAGTGTCGAAGATCAGAATCAACAAATATAGTGCCTTATCCTTGCACGGAGTCCGATTATCTTAAAATTCTCAATACGTACAGCTCTTGGTTTGTTTTCATTTGTGAGCCACAGGGACCTATGCTTTAAAGATGCAGAAAGAACTAATAAGGTCTAATTTCCTTCCCCCACTCCCCGCCCCAACCCTTAGAATGACTGTAAAAGCTGAGAATCACATGTAAGATGAACCACTACAGAACTGATCTAAGCCTCAACCCCAGAACCCCTGAAATAGAAGAGCAAGCACACGTCAGGCCACACAGCAAGGGATGCGAGATGAAAGAAGAGGAAGCACAAGGCAAAGGGGATGAAATGAGTTACGCGTGGCCCTGGCAGTGCGGGAAGGTGAACGTGAGGTGTTAGAACATGGGACTGAACAGCACATCTTGGCCTCCTGTTCTACTCCTTTCGCTCACGCAAAGCTACAGGGGACTTCATTCAGTCACCAAAGTAACTCAAAGGCCGAGTTCCTCGTGCTCCGAGTCATTACACCTGCAAGTCTCCAGAGGAGTTGTGTAAATACTAACGCCTGAAGGGTCCTGTTGTTCAAAGCCAAGGCTTCACTCAGGTAGATGGCTCCATCATCTTCCATCCGGTTTGCATTCAGATCTAGGATTTCCAGGGTTTGGTTCCGTTTCAGTAGTTCTGCCAAAAATTTTACTCCATCGCGGGTTATTTCATTACTGAAGGAGATACACACATATTTTTTTTAAAAGGGTGGTTTTTTTCCAGGGTGCTAAAATGAGTGTCTAATGTTAGTCAGGACACTGTCGCGTAATAACTCTTACCAGCTCAGATCGAGGTATTTCAGGCTGGAGTTTTCATACAACGCCTCACACAGTCGCTCCACACCAAAGTTTTTCATTTCGTGCTTGCACAAGTGCAGTTCCACCAGAGAGGAGTTCTTTTTCAGCATCAGAGCTACATGAACTGTGGTCTCTTCCTAAAAACATACACTCAGTTTGATTAAGCTGGACTTTGGGATAAGATACGGTTTTGTTTCAGTAAAAGGAAGATGCACAACTTAACAGAAGGGTTTGGTCATCAGTAGTGTTCTGTTCTATATATTACAGCTTCATATAACTAATAACCAGGAAACAATATATTATGATAAAGCTGAAAATTTAAAAAAATTAAAAATACCAGAAAGATATTTGCAGGTTTACAGAAATAACCAGGAAACAACATATTATGATAAAGCCAAAAATTTAAAAAATTAAATATATAAATATATAAAAATACCAGAAAGATATTTGCAGGTTTACAGTATTATATATGTCCCTGCAAATATCAGAAGCATCAGTGTTTGAATCATTGTGTCTAATCAGTTTTCCTCCCAGTCATTGCTCTTAAAAAACTGAATGTTTGAGTCAGTCTTCACTAACATTAGAAGTATTTTGCCACGACACTTACAGTATTACATACGTCCCTGCAAATATCAGAAGCATCAGTGTTTGAATCATTGTGTCTAATCAGTTTTCCTCCCAGTCATTGCTCTTAAAACACTGAATGTTTGAGTCAGTCTTCACTAACATTAGAAGTATTTTGCCACGACACTAATCTATTATTTCATCAAAAGAAACAGGATTGCTATGGGAAAAAAAAAACATATCCTGTCACTGTAAAACAAAGTAAGTTCATTTTGAAGTTGTCACGTTTAGTTAAGAAAAAACTGAGTGAATACTGTGAGCCAAAAATAAGGCAACAACCCAGAGGGCTGAGAAAATGACAGATTTGAAGGTGGAACAATGGCAAATAGAGTCACCCACAGATACACACCAGCCCCTGAGTTACATTTTCAATAGCAGTAGTTTAAATTGACTTCTAAACTGGGTTTAGGCGGATCAAGCCCTGTCTTAATAGAAACGAAACAATTAAAATCTGTTTAAACTGTTAAATTCACCTTTTAATTCAACTGTTAAATACCTTTTAAGGTGAATTTAGGAAGATCTGACAGTTTAATTTCGTTATCCTGCCATCAGGAAAATGCCTATCGCAGACACCTGACAACTGCTGCCGGTCGGGTGAAACCACCACCCCAACCAGCTCTGCAGCCAAGACTTCAGCAGGACCAGCCAGGCACAGAAGCTCTGAGCGCCTGTAGGCATCAGTTTTTTGTTTTTGTTTTTTGTTTTGTTTTGTTTTTTGTGGTTGGACTCGATCTCAGAGGTCCCTTCCAACCACTAAGATTCTGTGATTCTGTGATCCAGCAGAGCTTCCCCCAGCCAACCCTGATCCTCCTTTCAGCACTGGATTGTTTTGGAGGGTTTGTGTCTTTGTTTCGGGTAATAAATGCATCGTAGGTTTTTACATTGATGAGGTTCATTCACTTGTTAAATTCATGCTTCACGTTCACAGGGTGAAAGAACTGAACCCCCCAGCCCAGTGAATGTGGCATATTGTTGAAATGTGCCTTTTCTTCTCCAGGCTGCGGGCTCTGGCAGTTGCCCACGTATCGCGCTGCGCAGATAAACACCAGGCTGTTGTTCTTCCCCTCATTTCCTGCTAAACAGCATTTCTCCCTCAGTCTGCAGAACAATACACCAAACTCTCCATGCCCTGACAGCAGAAGGAGTATTTGTTTCTCCAACACCAAGCCCTCTCTGTTAGCCCACTATTTAACTGAGACATATCTATCAAGAAAGACATTTTTAAAAAATTAACCTTCTAGTTACACAGGGGCAGCCTGTGACTGCACAAAACTTGGCACCAAAAAAGATTATTTCTACAACTGTTTACTTCATAAGGAAACCCAGAGCCCTGTGTAGCTCAACTGTCCATAAATACATCAGTAGTGACTTCACTTGAGCTTCTCTCTTGGCTCCGACACCACAGTCTATTACGTACCTCTTGGCTGTAGAGTAAAGGACGATTTAGGTTTATTGCTTTGACTGATTTGTTCTGAGTCAGGGCTGTTGCTGTTGCTATTAGAGACTGTGTGCCCTGGAAATGAAAATAAACAAACAAACTCTTTAGAGAAACCCCGTCCAATGTATAGATCAAGCCACCAAATTACTGCGGCTTCGTGAAATTGATCGTCCGAAGATCAAAAACATCAAATGGGCTCAGATTGGAAATACTATTATTTCTGCCTCCACGTCCTCTGGAGAAATGCAAGTGCTTACAGACACATAATGTATTTTCTGATAATACCAGTGCTAACTCCCTCTGGAATAATAGAGTGGAATTAGACTAAGTAGTACAAATGACCACAAAATTTGGCAACTCAGAAAATAAAAAGCAAGAATAATGCATCTCAAAGATCTTTGTCTGTTTAATTGATCCTGTATTTTGGTTTTCCTGATTTATGAATTAAAATCAGCTTGGCCATGTTCCCTAAAGGTCTTTGCTGAAAGTTTTGGCCAAAATTTTTCCACTAGGTAAATTCACACTACATGTGAATTAATGTGATACGGAGTAGTGACAGTCTAGAATACAGGCCAGTTCAGATTTTTTTTATTATTTCCTTCTTGTTTGCTCACGTATTTATGTTATTTTCCAGTTAGGATGGTCTACACCCAAAGCTATTTCATTTTAAATCAGTTTTCTATTAACTCCCTACCAAGCATAAATATATTAAGCTTTCAAATAAATCCTACACTGGCTACACTTTCCTTGTTCATATTTTCATAGCACCCTTCACAGTTTCTGAGAAATATTTCCTCTTCTAGTTTAGGAGCAAATTCTGTAATTCCAAGAAACAAATATAAAAAAAAAATATAATAAAATTCTCCCAGGCAGGGAGAAGAACCACTTCCACCTTCCAGCCCTTCTGATGTGGTGGCACAAGGACACACCATCAGTCAGGCACTGGGATCTTGCCCCAGGAGGAGGTTCACAGCTCCAGTTGCCACCTTCTGCTGTACCCTACAGGTTTTTAAAAGCCATCCACAGTCTTTTACTGGCCAGAGTGGGAAGCACCTCGCTTAGCGCTATCTCAAAATGTAAAATCAATGGCAAGAGATGGCATTTTCTCCTAATTAAGCACTGCAGAACCTTTGTAATACCCTTGAAAGACTTATGTCATTGCTGATAATTTTACTGGGTTACTCACCATATCACAGTCTCCAAGATCCAGCTTCTCTAAGGTTGAATTAATTTGCAGCATTGAAGCAAAGAACATTCCACCTTTGTTTCCTATTTTGTTTCCAGTCATTCTCAAATACACAAGAGTTTCATTCCTCTAGACAAAATAAGAATGTAAAAAAAAAATCAATCCCTTTTAAACGGCCTGAAAAACAACACTGTCCTTTTCCCTGGGAATCCTGCTGGTTGTCACACAAAGACAAAACATCCTTCCAGAAGAATTCTGTCTAAGTGATAATGCTGATTAAGCAGTTGGCTCAGCCTCCCCTCAGTGGAATCAAACATGTGAGAGTCTGGAAACAAAATTCGAGTATTTGAAAGGTTTTGTTTCTCCCAGTTTCCCAAATTTTACACTCATGAAAATAATCCAGGCAGATATTTCTGCCTAAATTGACAGCTGGAATGGAAATCACATCAAAACTGATCTAAATCTAGTCAGCATTTTTTAAACAAGAATGTAATTTGCTTTATTTTTCAGAGGCTTTTAAACCTCGTGGCTGGTGACAGCTCAGTGAAGCGGGTTGCCTTCGGCAGGACGACTCCATGCAGAGCCAAACCCATGTGTAGGTCTCTGCAGGACTGGAGGTGGCCACAGAAAGGTCTGATCAGAGGTCTAGAAAAGTCACCATCACTCCCCTCACCCTCCATAGAGCTTCAGTGCATATGAAATATCCATTCAACTGATAGAGCCCTAAGTGCAAGGCAGAGTAGTTGTGTATTTTTAATTCCTCAGTACCACCGCAATCACCCATTATCAGAGGTTATGATTAAGTAAGTAAGAGATTGCAAAACAAGTAGTTCTGTGAGCAGCAAAACTAACAAAACCTGGGTTCATTCAGCCTGGAGAAGAGAAGGCTCCGGGGAGACCTTATAGCGGCCTTTCAATACCTGAAGGGTGCCTACAGAAGAGCTGGAGAATGACTCTTTGCCAGGAAGTGTAGTGATAGGACAAAGGGAAACGGTTTTAAATTGGAAGAAAAAAGATTCAGATTAGATCTCAGGAAGAAATTTTTTACTATGAGGGTGGTGAGACACTGGAACAGGTTGCCCAGGGAAGTTGTGGATGCCCCATCCCTGGAAGTGTTCAAGGCCAGGCTGGATGGGGCCTTGAGCAACCTGCTCTAGTGGGAGGTGTCCCTGCCCATGGCACAGGGGTAGGAACTTGATGATCTTTGAGGTCCCTTCCAACCCAAACCATTCTACGATTCTATGATTCATACAGCTTTTATATCTCGCTGGTACCCCTTCCCCAGCTGCGATACCTCACGACAGCATCTCCTTCCTTCTCCCTCCCTCAGTAACAGCCCCCTTTTCACCCTCAGATCCCCCCCAGCCCGGCCCAGCAGCCAAGGGACTGGTGGTCGGGTCCTGCCACCCTCCTGCTCAGCAAATGCTGCCAGGGGGGAGCCCCACAAACAGCTCTGGGGTTCCTTGCAAGCCCCGTGTTGTACAATGTACTCTACAACCTCCGCGTTTTGGAAGCCTGTCAAGCAGAGCTGAAATCAGTTCAGAGTTGAAAGTCTATGAAGGAGGAAGAGCGAGCCCACGCCGGTCTCATTTCACAAACATAACAAATCTTACACACAAGCCTCATTTCCTTGGGAAACCACATTAAATATAACAAACATGTTTTCATGCTGCTGCTGTAAGGCGAAGTTTTGAAAACATGTCTCAGACATCTTGAATCAAGACAAATATTGACATCAAGGTCCAGGCAAATTGAATACATTTTTTAAAAAAAAAACAAAACAAAAAATGGATGGCATTATATACTCTATAGCATAGCATTTTTCACACAGAAAAATCCATCTGTGATAGTTGTGCTAATTAAGTGTTAATGCAACTTTCTCTTGTGTGAAACCTGATTTCTGAAGTCTGCCTTGGGGAAAACAAGCAAACCCTGTGAGACAGCAAAACGCTGAATGGACCGAAGACAGAGGGCCCTTTCAGGCAGCCCTGGTGTTGGCAGGACAGCTAGTCCTCTGCATCAAAAGCAAAAAATATCAAACCAGCTGCTGTTGTCTAAATCTCCCAGACGAATACTCACGTGGAGCGCCCTCGCTATCAGCTCGGCTCCGCTTGTGCCAATATCATTAAACATCAGGTTAAGGTACCGCAGAGTGGAGTTTTCCTGAGGACCAGACAAAGCAGAAAGCAATGAGTCTTTTTTCTTCCAGAGTGTGCCTGCATTTTTCAAAAAGGAGATACATCATACATGGACTTAAAGCCTTTGTCCTTCCCTGCATTCCAGGCAGCCCCTGATTTGGAGAAGCAGTTAAAGAATGACAGAGTATGTCAGATGGTGACGGAAAGGCAGAAAAAACACATAGTGTGTGGGTCCTCGTGGGGCTTACAGACACCACCTAGGAACCCAGGTGCTCAGCACAGCCAAACGAAGCAGCTGGTCAAGCTCAGATCATAGAATCATAAAATCATAGAATGGTTTGGGTTGGAAGGGCCCTTAAAGATCACCCAGTTCCCACCCCCCTGCCCTGGGCAGGGACCCCTCCCACCAGCCCAGGTTGCTCCAAGCCCCATCCAGCCTGGCCTTGAGCCCCTCCAGGGATGGGGCAGCCACAGCTTCTCTGGGCAACCTCTTCCAGTGTCTCACCACCCTCACAGGAAAGAATTTCTTCCTGAGATCTAATCTAAATCTCCTCTCTTTCAGTTTAAAACCATTTCCCCTCATCCTATCACTCCACTCCCTGATGAAGAGTCCCTCCCCATCTCTCCTGTAGCCCCTTTAGGGACTGGAAGGGGCTGTAAGTTCTCCCCGGAGCCTCCTCCAGGATGAACAACCCCAGCTCTCTCAGCCTCTCTACATAGGATGCAAACCTTCAGGCCTTTTGTGGATTTAATGGCCCTCCCTGAGCTCCAGGAGCACAGGCAATGAGTGGCAACTCACCATTTTCTGCCTGTATTCTGGTACTTACAGTGACAGGCAGCATTAAAATTTAGACCCACAAAAAGGCTAACAGAGATGATAAAGCATGTAAACCAAAGGCCCTGGCACACTTGACACTACCACTATCTCCTTTGTTGAACTAAACTGTAAGCCTGAAAGCCCCACAGTTTATTCCACTGTTCTTTCTTCATGACGCCCCAGCCAAATGTCAAATGCTTTCCTACCAGAAATTAAAAATCTCCCCAGACAATGCAATCTGAGATTCTAGTGGGATGGATTTGGAAGCGAAAGTCAGAATTAATGGAATTTTGCCAAACCAATACATTCTTGTCTCCAGTTTATCACAGATAAATATTATATAAACCAAAGGTCCTGGCACACTTGACATTACCATGATCTCCTTTGTTGAACTGAACTGAAAGCCTGAAAGCCCCACAGTTTATTCCACTGTTCTTTCTTCATGACACCCCAGCCAAATGTCAAATGCTTTCCTACCATAAAGCATGTAAACCAAAGGCCCTGGCACACTTGACACTACCACTATCTCCTTTGTTGAACTAAACTGTAAGCCTGAAAGCCCCACAGTTTATTCCACTGTTCTTTCTTCATGACGCCCCAGCCAAATGTCAAATGCTTTCCTACCAGAAATTAAAAATCTCCCCAGACAATGCAATCTGAGATTCTAGTGGGATGGATTTGGAAGCGAAAGTCAGAATTAATGGAATTTTGCCAAACCAATACATTCTTGTCTCCAGTTTATCACAGATAAATATTATATTAGCCAAATAAACTACAAGTTGCTCATGATAAATATCATTTTGGCACCTGGAGGAATGCTGCCACATGCTTTGCTGCAGCATCAGTCAATGCATTATACCGAAGATCCAAACCTGAAAAAGAAGAAGACTGTGACAGATGCGTATGTGCAATTAACTGATCCCTAGACAAAAAGAAATCAGGATGAATTAAGGTTGAAATCAAGGCTGCTTATGTTTTCTCATATTAGCACAGCCATGTCATACCTACATGAAAAAAGCTTACCTGTGACAAATACAGTGTTGGACAAGACAGAGGCAAGAACCTGAAGATCATCATCTGTAACTCTCTGCACAGGCTCCAGATGATTATTTCCAGCTATTTTTAATGTGATCCCTTTTGAGCATCTGCTGTAACAGAAAAACGTGAGCAAATGGGCAGAAGTAAAATGATACAGAGCAATGAACCCTCTCTCCAGATGCAGAGGGTAGCCACGCTTGCCCTCGCCAGTGTGTTTGCACGCAGTGAGCTGCCACCACTCCCTCTGGTAACACCATGACAGACGACATGGTTCAGGCTGTCCCTCAGCAATGTCCCTTCTCTCTGAAGCCACTGCATGGTTGCACGACCACACTTAGCACAGAAAGCAGGAAGAAGCAAGATGAGGGGAAGGCAGACAGAAATAAAACCTATCCTGCAGGTTACCTCATCATCTCCTTTTAACTTGTTCCCTTTATTTACTCCATCCTTCCCTCAGGATCAAAAACCTAATGCAAACCATTTCACTACGCTGTATTTTCTCAGGTTTTCTCTCCAAAGGACAATTAACTTTGACCCCAGGAGCATCTGTGAGAGGAAGCCCTACCTCACCACATAACGAGAGAGAATTTGGGTGGTTAATACCTTGGCAGGATTCAGAGACAGCTCAGGGAAGCGTTACCAGCTGGAAGCTAACTGGATGCAGCTGAGGCTTTTTAAACAGGAGCGAGACAAAAGGAAGGGAGTTAGGATGACTAGACACTGGGTTTGGCTTCTTTAAGGGACACAAAGGCACCATCCTCTACATTTTTCACTTTTTAATTTTTTTTTATTTTATTTCACTGCTTGTAAAGCTGCCCAGACGGGATATATAGCTAGAAACTTCTGCCAAGATGATGTCAAGATGAGTCAAAGCAGAACCTCAGCAGTAAATGCTAAATATGATTTGTGTTTAAGCCTGAAACTGCATGAACTTTCTCATTGTTCAATTCCTTGCCCTGCTGTTTTGTGAAAGGCTTTCAGAAGCATCTGAAACACGCTGTTTGTTATTTCCTTACATTTTATCAGCTTCTTGGAGCACACAAGCGATGAAGGGGTTTTCGGGTCGGCCCAAGCTCTGGCAGGCCAGCACATAGCCCTGGTGAAGATCTGGATGAACTGCCATGACCTGCTGGAAAAACAAACCAAAGTGTTAGTGCACAGTTAGGGCAGCCTAGCAACATCACCATGGACCCCAGTGCCTGTGGTGCCGGGCTCTGCTTAGCAAGAAAAATGGTCTGAAAAGGGTTACAACTCTTGGTATGCAGCACAAGGATAATACAGATACAGACAGGAAAAGCTCGAGGGAAAAAAATGGAATTATGGACGTGTTTCTGATCCGCCTTCATGTGGGATGTGAGGTAAGAGAGGATTAATATTCATAGAGGTAGGTCCTTTTTCCCTGTAAAGCAGCTGTGCCCCCAACCTCCTTGTGCCTACCTGAAGTGATCACCCTCTCCCCACGTCAACCCACGGGTGAGCTCTGCCCCACGGGTGAGCCAGGCGACTCCACAAGGTCAATAAGGTGTGGACATGGAGCCCGTTTCCAAGGAGGGTGTCCCAGGTCCCCACCACCCAGAGGGAGTGGGCAAAGGTGGCCAGGCCCAGCCCAGGGCCCTGGCAGGAGGCCCCACAGCATCTGGGGCCTCCCCTGGGAGGGGACTTTCAGCAGCTCACCCCCAGAGTATTTACTCCTAGCAGCCTTTGCCAAAATTTCCATGGTTACACAGATTAGCAGCTACTTCAAAGGTGCCTGTGCTGCTCTTTTCCATCAAATAAATCCTTCCAGCCACTTCACTGCTGCCCTTGTAGGTGGGAGGGGGTGGCCTGGCATCGCACGCTCTCCCGTCCCACAGCCTGTGGGGCACGCACCCCGGTACAGAACCTGCAGCCAAAGAAAAAGAAAATACCCTCAGGCAACGTCTGAATTAGGCTGGGAAGCCCAGCATGGTGGTCACTCAGTTCTTTCTCCTTGTCCCGGTGGCAACTGGAAACTCCCCATCTCTGGAAACATGATGGCCCCCCCCAGCAGAGAAAAGGGTGTCAGTGGGAGATGACTGACAGCTCCACCTCCACGTCCTCTCTTATCATTCCTTAAATGCCAGCTGAAAGGTTTCCTCTGTCCAGACATTTATATATATTTATAATAATATTTATTCTAAATATAATAAATATTGCTAATAAATAAATTTATCACTTATCCTAAAGTCATATGCTCCATGAAAAATCTGGAAGTATCGGCCCTGGATGACAATCAGATACAGGAGGTATTTGGTTGTTCCTTTGTTTTCATTTTTATTTTACTGATACTTCCCTTCTGCAAAATCCAAGTTCTTCATTACACCCGGGTGCCACCTTTCCCTGCTACAGGGAAAAGGCACCTTCCACCTGGAATGCACCTCAGCCTGGGTTACTCATTAGCACTGATATCTGAGTATTCAGACAGGGGGGAAAAAAAGCAAGAAGGTGGAAACACTGACCTTTGTGTTGAACGGTGAAGATGAAACACTGACTGGAGGGACCACCTCAGCCTGTTTGCATCTTTTATTTTTTGCTGGGTACACTGGAAAAGAAGAGCTGCGCTTGCGTAGAATCAATACATCACAAACTGAAACAGAGCAGAGGACAATTTAAAAATGCATATGATTTTGTTAATGCCTTTAAGACCATTAACGTTTGCTGCTCATTTGATAATGAACAATTTCATACCCTAAAGCTGTGCTATTTTAAGTGTAACAGTATTCCTGGCCATACTGATTTTAGGGCTCAGAACGCACCTTCCTTTTCATATAACGCGTTTCCTTTCCAAGATTTTCACTTGTGCAATTTTCTTCTTGAAGGTTACATTTACAGAAGTAGCAATTTATGCAAAAGAATCACAGATTTCATTCATTTAAATTACTCTCCCCTGCACTGTGCCTACAAAGGAAATGAAGCAGCAGACTTATGTTTCTGCTAAGAAATAAAATTAACCCCATAAGAAATCTTTCCAGCAGAGGAAACAACATGGATTCTTTTTTTTTTGGCCAAAATTTCCACCATACTGTGAGGTGTAATCTTATATTAATGAGCAGAATATTCTGTGTTCATCTATCAACAGTAATGCAGCTCCACGGCATTTTCTTGGAGATTTTTCCCTAAAAACAAAATCCCAAAGATTACTGTTTAATTGCCATAATGTATCTTCTTAATGTCTGTGCCTGGATACCTGCGGAGGTGAAAGAACTGACAAATGTGAAATGCCTCAGCCTGTCTGAAAACCGATTCAGTATCTTTCCAAAGGAAATCTTTCTCCTGGAGTCATTAGAGTGATTATGCCTGGGCCAAGATGAAGGAATTCAATTCCCAAATCTGCCAGAAGACATCAGCAAATTGCAGGTAGGAGCAGTCGAAGGTGGGGATGATCTTGGTTTGCTGCCGTACGGCACTTCCAGGGAATTCAGCGTCTCCCAAATGCAGGACAGAAGGTTCTCCTGGTCTCCTTAGGGACATCACCCAGCACCACATCAGGGTGTCAGAATAGGAGCAGTATCAAAACTCCATGTTTGAACCTCACGTTTTCTCTCTGTGTTTGGTCACCATCCCAATGGTAGCTCAGTTTATAAACCTTACTGATACTCTCTGTACATTCATTATGCATCAAGCTAAGGAAAAATACTTTATTTATTAAAAATTATGCACAAGTATTTTCCAGAATCTGAAAGAACTGCATATGGAGAATAATTATCTTGAGTTTCTGCCCACAGCTATTGGCTCATTGACCCACTTGAAAATATTTGACTGTCAAAACAACCTCCTTAAACACCTCCCAGACTCTGTGTGCCAAATACAAGGTGAAAAATAGTCTCTGTGTTCTTAAGGACACCAGTACCAGCAAGCATTTTGGAAGAAGGAGGGAGAGAAGGGAAGGAAGGAATGCAGTGCATCCTTCAGGGCTCATCCTGTAATTGTATGGGAGCCAAATGGGATAAAAGTAAGGAACTGGGAGGGTGAGGGAAGCACTATGCCCAAGACAAGCAGACATAAGGTTCTCCCCCCAACACCCCCCATAACCCATCTCAACCTCAGGAGTCCAAGGAAAAGGGTGTTTCCCCAAACTCAGCTCCAAGCAGACCCCACCCCTGATGTGAGAAGACCCACCAGTGACTCCAGGAGGGTAGTCAGAAACCAGATCTCTGAGGGGGTTCCCCAGCTCAGTCTTTCCACCTTCCCCACTTCATTGCATTTCTGAGTGGCTTAGCTCACTAGTGCTGTTGGTGGGCCAATTAGCAGGGCTTTTAAAAGCTGGATTTGGCCACCTGGCTGCCAACTGAATAGTCTCCACCTGGTGAAGTAAATGCTTTGCTGGGAGAGCCTGAGTCCCATCCTTCTGTATTTGGGAGAAGATACTTTGAATTTTAAACACTCTGGTGAGATGTTCAACACACACATTTGTTACATGCACAGAGTGAGATGTTTGTGCATCATCCATGTGCAGGGATCACGCAGAAATTCTCCCCATCATTCCTGTTCTTTGTGCTGCAGCTTTTGTGTGGTCAGGTTTGCAAAAACTGCTTGCTCAGAAGAATAATCACCTGTCCCAGCTGCCCTGTCCTGGCTGCCCCAGGATTTGGACAGTCTTCAGCAGCTGGAGCTGGTCTTTGTGGATGGGAACCCTTATGACAGACCTTCTGACTGAAGTGTGCTGTCAGGGGACATCTGGGAATACTTACAGGAAAAAAAGGCGTAAAAAGGCCATGAACTTAAAGGTAAGGGCATTAAGAAAGACACCACAATATATACACAAGGCATTGCTTATAGATGAAACTAACTGCAGGTGGCATTTTCCACTCTTTGACCGTAGAGAATTGAAGATCCATTGTGCAAACAGATAAAACAAAACACATTTTTTGTGTCTTTTATGTTTGTTTGTTTTTCCCAGAAGACATCAGTCTGTACCACCGATGGCCCATGGAATTGATTTGCTCAGAAAAAATACAAGGCAAGAAGGAAGGAAAAGCAAATCCTCAGTCCTTGATTCTTCTGAACCTAAATTACTCCTCTCTTTCTGTAAAATCTGTAATTTCTTCATGAACCAATGTGTTTCTCCCAAATTGTTCTTCTGAACTAAAAGATGACATTTAAAGATGTGTAGACACAGTCATTTACTACTCTAATCAAAGGCTGTGTTCGTAAGAAATTCCTCTTGAAAAAAGTAACACTCAGAGTAAAGGAAAAGTCAAATGGCTGGCATTCTGTCTTAGCTGCAAACAAGGTAGTCTGATACAGCATAAAAGGGTTTTTTGGAGACCACAATGTGCCTGGATTTTTGCACCAAGAATATCCAGCTGTTACACTCTTCCACATGACTGTTTGCTTTTACCCTTTTCCTCCAGGTAACCAGATTGTTCTTCTCTCTATCTCAGATCCAAAGTTTGCAGTGTGGGGTGATGAACCAGAAGAGGTTTGGAACCTTTCTTGATGCTTAAGAATCTAATGGAAAAAAAAAAGAAAGAAGGAAAAGAAAAGGAAGGGAAAAGAGAAGCCTGGAAAAGGATTCAATACCAAAAGTGATATTTGGGCAGTAAACTACACAGAGCTCTTTTCATTTACAAGGAGGGCAAATGTGAGCAGAGATAAGCAAGTGGGAGACAAGTAGCTATGAAAGCATTTGAATCAGTGTTACAATGAAAACATTATTTTTTGAAGTTTGTTTTGTATTTTTGTCAACATTGACTCCAGTTGAATCAGGCAGATTCTGAAACATTCATGATATTAATCTCATTCCAGATGCATGTTATCTCAAAGCATGAAGGCAGCCAATTAACTGGAAATTAACCTAATCTGTAGGAATTTGGTGCAATGAAGTGTTCTTTTTTTTCTGAATCCCGACGTATTTTACATGCAATTCCTAGAAATCTGTTTTCCAGTCAGTGAGGTACAGCCATGTCTAGAATGGAACAATATTTGGGGTCCCAGCTACTAGCAGTTATTTAATGAGTTTTACATTCAGAAATGATCAGTACCTTGTTTGGAAATACGGAGGAGGACTCCAGGCAGGCAGAACACATGCAATTCTACCAGCACCCGCGTTACCATCCTGTCTTACAGAGGTGTAAAAAGCTGTTTTCAAAGTATCTCTACACGTTTGCAAAACTGTTCACTGCTGTTTTGACAATCTGGAGTTACAGTCTTTGGAATGAGTGCAAGCTGTCAGATCCTCAGCGGCACCGCTCCTCTCCGAGAGAGCTTGGAGACAGTTTGTAAAACGTCTGTGTACGACAGGCTTATTTGAAAGCAGAGAGTCTGCAGAATGCCATATTCTGTGATGATTCCAGGTCCTGGCATGTCCTAACACCTTCGTTATTCAAAAGAACCATGAGAAACACTCCTTACTATAATTCTAGCACGCCAAATTTATATGCAACCATGTCTTTCCACAGCACTTCACAGGTAGCTCTTTGTTCTACACAGCTGATGTCCTTGTCTAGTTTTTATTGTGTATTTCTCAGTTACTCCTTAAACCCCTCCAGAGTTTTATTTGCAGCACACATAAAGCACAGAGCTGGACTGGGACTGGCCACCATGCAGAATCACAATGCAGGACTGGGTGGGAGCAGAGCCTTTTATTTAGTTTAATTGGCTGGTCAGAACTGCAGTCCTTCTGTCCCTTCCCTGGAGGGACAAGGTGACTCCCAACTGGAAGAGTTGCCTCAGAGAAGGTGGTGGCATCCTGGAGGAGGTGGTGAAGACAAGGTCACCCAGACCCAGCTCTTCCTAGAGCTCCACCTCTAGGTAGTAGTCTCCAAATGCTGCAGCTACATCTGCTCCAGGGGATGGAGCTTATTGCCGTTTGCCTCTTGAACAGATTGATACTGAAATCTCTTACTATGATCGTTGGCAGGAGAGAGCTGGGAGTGCAAAAAAAGTGGGATGGCTCAGTTTTGGCTTTCCATTTTACTAGGTAATGGATGCTGTTTTGATTGTTTGGAGGTGTCTTATGAAATATTTTCACCCTGAGCGAAGGCAAAGAGGCACAGAGAGAAGAATGATTCAGAGAGTACCAAGAAATCACTGAAAGAGAGATATTTCTGGGAAGAGCAGGAGATAGGTAGTACATTCAATGGAAGTGATTTAATAAAAGCTTTTTACTGGAAAAATAGGTATGAGAGAACCATAAGAGGGCAAAGGACTGAGAAGGGGATCATGAACAGCAAGAGGAGGTTGTGAGCAGTGAGTCCATACTGTGCTCTGGAGCTGGGAATGAGGAACCCAAGCACAAAGGAGCAAGAAACCCCAATACTGAAGTCCAGTTCAGTCAGTATGATTACAATAAACACCAGACTTTAAACACGGGCCAGCTGATTTATTGAGCTGGAGAGAAAGGTTCAGTGAGAAAGGAGAGATTCAGAGAGATTCTCACAGAATAGATGAAGGATCAATTTCCCAGTTGGACCAAAGGCAGGTTTGAGGAGGAAAGTCACAGAAAGGCAAGAGATTAAGAGAAGAGGTTGGTGTGCTGCTGATAAACAGAGATGATGGTACTTCCACGTTATAATAACTCTCCTGGCTTGAGTCAATACTTCAAAGTTTCTCTTGTTAGCACTGTATGAAGCAGGGGCTCTTTGTTTCATTTCAGAGACTGAGGATCTCTGTAGAAAATAAAGGACCCCACACTGCAGCAATTCCCTGCTACCTCTGACCAAGACACTCCATCTCACATTTCTCAGAGCTGGAAGAGCTGAGTGCTCTTTTCAAGTGGAATTGAAACTGGAACGAGGAAGTCCACAGAGAACCTCACATGAAATCATGGATTAGATGATCAAGAGGCATCAGCACAGCATGGTCAGCTGCTGTCCAGCCAGAAGTTGATGTTGGAAGGGTCACTTGGACAGAAAGGTGAATATTGATCTGCATCTGCACAGGAGAACTTGCTGAGCAGGGTCCTAGCAAGTTAGGAAAGTGCCACTGAATGATCCTCTCCTCCAGGAGACTGCTGCAGTGTGTAGATATACTCAGGGCTAATTGAGCAGCACTTTATCCCTCAAGCTGCCTCAGGATTTCTCTAAGACTCCTCACTCAGTGGGTAGATGTAATATCTTTACTTCCTAAAATACCTTACCAATGAATAATCCCACTGCAGCCTTTGAGCTCACGTGTGGGTTAACATGCTCCACGACACGAGTAACTACGCTTTGAACAGAATTTGGTTCTGTGTAAGGAAATACAATAAAATACCAAATAAGAAATTATCAAATAAATAAAGCAGGAGCCACTTAAACATCCCAAGTTGGTGCTTTTTCTAACAAGTCTTGGGCACAGAGCAGGGTGCTCTGCTCTTAGCCAGAAGGTGCCCACTGGCTTTGAATTATAAACTTTGCTTATTTCCTTCATCTTTAGGGTAAAGATAAGATCACTGTCTATGTCACAAGGTGTTATGAAGGTAAATGGATTAATCCTGAATGCAGGAAAGGCACTGCAGGACCCCCATTGGCTTTCATATGTTCTAGATCAGACTCTTAGATGTGGAAGTTTGGGTTTGTGCTGCATGTCATAAAAGGGTCTGTACAGAAAGGCTGAAACAGCTCAGAATGAGAAGAAGCATCCCTGAAGTATCCTGAAATCTTTGCATAGCCTTATCCAGATGCTCATGGATTGCTCTGCATCCAAAATCTTTGCTATGTCCTGGTTAAATCAGGATTTATCTCTGATGTAATCTACCACAAAATTTCCCTTGCTCCCGAGACCTGCAAAGGCACCAGTCAACTGTTTCTTACCTTGATTTTATGCTGATTCTGTACACAGGACTCATCTACACTATGAGACAGCATCAAAGACCACAGCAAAGGCGGAACAGCTCCTTCTGTATTCCTACTGGACTAATATATAATCTTGAGTTGTTGGGATGCTTTCCAGATCTCACAATTATGTTGATTCAATGCATTCACAAAGAGGCAACAGTTTGGGGGGGGGGGAAGAAACTAAAATTTAAAACACAGAGTTTTCAAGAATTTTCACATTAGAGGCATTTTCCTTGTATACAGGAGGCCACACTCACCCTCTCCACCCACCTGCATTAGCACATCCCAGCCACTTCCCTCCCTTGGCAAACCTGCAGCGTGTCCACCTGAAATCATCACTGCTTTTTTGAAAGCAGCCATCGCTGGGTTCACAATATGAAGATTAAGCTTATATAGCAGTGTAAGCATGGCCCAGAGAATCTGAAAGGATATGTTATTAAGTGGAATGATCTGTGCATGCAGAAGGTTAAATAGCGGTTCTGTATCATAGAATCATAGAATCGACTTTTCTCTTTTGAAAGCAGTCGTCGCTGTGTTCACAATATGAAGATTAAGCTTATATAGCAGTGTAAGCATGGCCCAGAGAATCTGAAAGGATATGTTATTAAGTGGAATGATCTGTGCATGCAGAAGGTTAAATAGCGGTTCTGTATCATAGAATCATAGAATCGACTAGGTTGGAAGAGACCCTTGGGATCATTGAGTCCAACCATCTACCCTACTCTACAAAGTCATCCCCTACACCATGTCCCTTAGCACTGCATCTAAACGGCCCTTAAACACATTGTGGAACTATTTCAAGAGCTCTCATGAGACAAGATTACTAAAAACTGGGTAGTGTTCTAAGTGAAAGACACATAATACTTGGTTCCTGTGCTGCTCGGTTGTTCTAAGACCTTCCAGAAAACTTCAACCTCCATCAACAGTCAAAACGAACGTTTCTTCTGTTGTCTTGATTAAAGCTTTCCAGTCGTTTCCGCTGGGCCTTATTTCAAGAGCTCTCATGAGACAAGATTACTAAAAACTGGGTAGTGTTCTAAGTGAAAGACACATAATACTTGGTTCCTGTGCTGCTCGTGAAACCTTCAACCTTCCAGAAAACTTCAACCTTCATCAACAGTCAAAACGAATGTTTCTTTTGTTGTCTTGGTTAAAGCTTTCCAGTCGTTTCCGCTGGGCCTCTGAAAGGACCCATCGCTGCATCCCCAGCTCTGCCAAGGCAGGCAGCTTTGTGAGCGCTGCTAACAAGGCGCCGAACCACGTCCCGCAGGCACGGCAGGACGAGGGGCGAAGGCTGACGTCCAGCTCTGCCAGCTCTTTGAACACTGCTAAGCCTTGACAGAAAACGACCCACCCTTCGTCGGAGATGTTGTTGTTATAACTCAAATCCAGCTTCTGTAATCTGGCTAAATGGCCATCCTGCCTCAGTAATGCTGCAAGAAAGGACAGACACAAACACAACTAATACATCCTGGCAATTACCTTAAAAGCTTATGAGTAAGAAGAGTAGTATTTTAGTACCATATTATTTAAGGCTTTTCGGCAAGATTCAACTCCTCAGCAGCATAAAATCGCTTGCTGTTGATCTCAGATGGTTTCATCATTGCTGAAGGGGTGTGCAACATTTAAAATACAGGCAATTCAAAAAGAACAGAAATACTGGGTTAAAATTGTATGGCAACCCGAACACTTTTAAGTCAGTTGGAAGGAGGTTACATCAAGTGCCAATTAAATTAGGCAGACAGGCTTTATGGGGAAATTTAGAAAGAGGAAAGCAGAACTAGATGAGGCTGCATAATTACAATAGCCGCCTCCCCGTTGTGGGAGGGTAATGAGCCTAATACACCTGAAAAGGAACTGGGATCCTTCCTGTGTGACTGGCAAAGGAGACACCCATCAAGGATGATGTTTGTAAAGTCAAAAATATTCAGGCTTCATCTCACCAGCCTTCAGATTGCAGGGCCTTAATAGCTGTCACACAGCTGCTGCCGACCTCAGACACTCAAAACCCATGAGTCAGGCCCACAGAATCACAAGGATGATTACAAAGAAGTTTTTAGAAGAATCCTAGAATTTATTACTTCATTGGGTTCCCATTTGCCAGTACTTCTCAGCAGCTGCTGAGAGGTGGGCTAAAATATTTCTGTTTTAATTCTCCCATAATGGTTTGACTCCAGAAACACACCTAATGGACTGAGAGCTGGCAGTGCCTGTACTACTGTCTGTCAGCACGTACCTTTCCCATAAATTACTGATCCCAAAAAACAGTAACCGAGCAAAATCAAACCCCTCAGAGCTTGAGATATCTGATATAAAAAACAGACACAAAATCTACATTTTCTAAGTGCTGCCTTTTTTGTATTAATAGATAAAACTGCTGTAAGATTCTTTGCATTTTTATCCTTTTCAGCTTTCGCACTGTGCATCTACAGGTCACACAGTCTTCAGCAAAATGAAAACCCTTTCTGGGAAAAAAGACTGCTGTATTTTCCATCTTTTCATTTGATTTATGCTCAGCCCATGGAACAAGTCCCTCCTGAATTGTAGTCTAGATGCCCTGGCTCCTTGACTGCCAGTAAATACCATGTTATACGTACTTAGAAGTGCCAAATCTTCAGCCACCAGGTTACAGCTGCTCAGTCTTAACACTTGAATCTCCGTCGCAAGCTTTAGCGCTCCCCAAAGCAGCTTTAGGTTCCCACCAACGCACTTATTCCAAGAAAGGTCTAATATCTCCAGTTCAGGAAGGTGAAGGGCGGCCTCAGCTGAAAAGATTAAGACCAGCAACTTCTGCTTACTAAGAGAAAACAACACGGCCTCAATAGACACCTCACCGGCAATTCACCTGTAAATAGGCTCCTACAGGCTGCCTACTTGTGCTTAGAATGACTTATTTTATCCTAATGAAAGTCAGACAAAGAAATACTTCCCATGTTCCTTAAAGAATGTAAGAAGGACCTGCCTATAGAATATTTAAGGACTCTGTGGAGGGGTTTCTTGTCTTTCCGTTTACGTTATTGGCTTGACCTTGTCCCACTCCAGTCCATTTAACAGCTTGTTTTTAAACCATTTTATACCAATTTAGAGACAGCAATTTTTTGTTGTGAACTCACCGTGCAATGGGAAACGCTCTCTATCTTTTGACAACACCGATTTCCATGATGTCACTCTTACATAATTGTAATGATATAAATATAGTACTTTTCCTGCAGGGACCTCAGACCAGTTTAGCTCACTGCTGCTTCTGCTGAAGGCAGTCAGGTTTTTCTAGAGGTTTCAATGTCACTTGCAAATAGTACAAAATACATTGTAAGTGCACAATACACGGTAACTAACAGATCCCTCTGTACTTGGAGTTCATGTGCCATATGGAACACCTATCAAACGGACAGTGTAGCTGCTAATCCACTGAGATTTGCAATAAGTAGGCAAAAGAGGCTGAATTTATGTATCCTGTGTTAGACTGGACTTTTCTTCATGGCTCTGCAGTATCTTTTCCCCTGCTGCAGTCATTGCCTCAGTTCCTCCATTGCCCCATGCTTAACTCTATCCCAGAAAGTTTCTAGTGAAACCTTCCCCTGCAGTGTATCAAAGAATCATAAAATGGTTTGGGTTGGAAGGGACCTTCAAGACCATCCAGTTCCAACCCCCCTGCCGTGGCCAGGGACACCTCCCACTAGAGCAGGTTGCTCAAGGCCCCATCCAGCCTGGCCTTGAACCCCTCCAGGGATGGGGCAGCCACAGCTTCTCTGGGCAACCTCTTCCAGTGTCTCACCACCCTCACAGGAAAGAATTTCTTCCTAATATCTCATCTAAATCTCCCCTTTTTCAGTTCAAAACCATTACCCCTTATCCTATCACTACATACCTTTGTGTGAAACTTTACTCCACTAAACTGCAAATGGAATATTACAACCAAACTACAATTACAGCACAATATGAAATAATGTTTTGGTTTCTATTCCAAAATTAGGGAGTCTTGGAAAGCTCACTATCAGACAAAGCACTAAAAGGACTTCATCCAGTCAGGTATAATGGGGGAAGACATACAACATTCTTCCCTTGCAACCAGGTCCCATGAAGCACTGGTTTCATCACAGGCTTTTTCACTCGGGACCTGTGGTATAATGTAACCGTGACCTTTGGAGTTCAGCCAAAGGAGAATGAAGTGCTTTGTCCCACCAGGATACACAGAGAATAGACACACTTTGATAAAACATTCCTACCTAGTGATGAAAACGACTCTTCACGTAAACCACAGTTGCTGATGGACACAGATTTCAACTTTGGTAAAAACCTGAGCCTGCCCAGAAGAGGATGAGATGAGACTCCTACATTTTTATTCGAGGATAAATTCAGCTCTTGAAGACTGGAGAGTAAAGGTATTACCTGGGCTATGAAAACATGAAATATTTATTAGACAGTCACTGATCCAGAACAAATATGTAGTTTTATATTTGCCTGACATAATTTCTTTTCTTTATAAATCAATCCAAATGTCTAGGCCAAGTTTTGACAGTCAAATTTATGGTGAGTAATGTTTTAGACCATAAATAGCCTTGTCATTTTCAGTAGGAATGTTTAAGAAATTAGGTATTACATACTGTGTGGAAGGTTGTCAGAACATGGCTTCCTGTTGAAATTTTCTCAGTGAAGTAGGGAATTTTACATTAAATGAGATGGGAGCTATTTCCAAATGTCTTCACTGCTCACTGCAACTCCTCTATATTAATGTTATTGTTCTTTATTAGTCAAGAAATTAAAAGTAAATCATGATTGCTATTACTGAGAGTTAATACTTCCCAATGATTCAGCAGCAGCTTTTCAAATTATCTTTTTTATCATGGAAAGTAAGATGTGGGCAACATAGGCTCTGAGTCACGGCATTTTTTGTTGTTCTAAAGAGTGAAAAACAATGTCAAAACGCTATGTGAGTTCACACAGGAAAATAAATTGTCTCACTGATTAAAAGGGAAATGTCTTTTTCTTCCTAATAGTATTTATGAGTTGGATTGATTCAACCTGGAGACTGTAGTCTTCAGCTTTTCTATAAGGAGTAGCAGCAATGCAAGGTCTCCTAACATCAAAGTTCACCAAGGGAGTTCCAGGCAGTCACATTTACATGCACATACGCACCTTGGATCCAAGACAATTTATACCAGTGAGCAAAATGTCCCTGGATATTTCCTTACTGATTATCAAAAACCAGCAGTGCTTGGTGGCAGTTCCTACATTCCCATCATGGGTCTGAATCATGGCAGATTCAGGTCCTTAGCTCTATGTGGGATCAGACACTATGAGATTTCCTTTGGTACAGCAAAAAACCCATTCCATATTGAATAAAAAAGCCATCCTTCACACTGCTCTTCCAGAACTGCCTAATGAAAATGTACTGAGATCTGCTAGACTAGATCAGGCAGAACCTCTTATGCCTTTGAGATATTTTCAGAAGTCAAAACCTACATTCTTAATGGATTTCCTCAACATGTCCTTACCCAAAACGGTCATGTCCTCTTCTGTTACGCAGCACTGGTGGAGATCAAGGACTTCGAGATTTTTCAAGCTGGCCAAATGAGCTGTGGAGTCTTTAAAGCCGCCGCCAATCTCTTTGTTACATGATATGTCTAATTTTCTCAGCTCGGCAAGGTGCTGAAAAGCAGTGTCTGAAATGGGAAAGGGAGCAGCGTCACCAGCTGCCACAATAGCACAGGTCACAGCTTTAGTGTTTATTTACTTTAACGTCAAAGTTTGCCCAAGGTATTGCAGGCAAAGCCCTCAGACTAAGCGTTGGTGTATAATCACAGCAGACATACAGTAATACCACAAAGCTTTCCATCCACACAACTCCATTCTTCTCTGAAAGAGCAGGTGAAGGTGAGGCCAGCTCATCCCCCAGATCCATTCAATCCCCAGCCTTTTGCTGAAATTACTACTGGGTGTGCTAATTAGTGCCAGTTGTTTTGTCTTATGGGTAAAACCTCCGCTAGGGAGAGACACAGATAATAACCCCATTTCATATGGCTTCGCTGGACGCTCGTTAAGCGATAATGGTGAATTTGGATTCCCCTCTGAGAGTAGGATTAACTTGTTAAAAGTTAGCCAGCCTGTCTGTGCCCCTGTCTATGTTCTGTCTGGGGAGAGAGGAAGCACGGCCAGAGAGCCATTAATCTGCCCTACGATGTGTCTCAGATAAATGGTGTGGACGCTGACTCTCCCCACTGACTTTCACATGCTGGAGCTCGGGGAAGATAAATGCTGCTCCTGCTGAAAGTCTCTGTAGTCTTTTATCAATCCTCAAACAGCAAATAACGATTGCCCATTAATACTGCCAAACCATCAGCAAAATCCCACCTCATTGCCTTTCTTAAATGGTTTTCAGATGTACAATTTATTCAGAATGAACGTCTTTTCTGAACATAAAGTCTAACCTAAGCCCTGGAGGCTGTCTTGCTTTAATCCACACATGTGCAGGTTTAACTCTTTCAAGCCTGGCACATTTTTCAGATCCTGAGCAAGAACCTTCATGCTGCAGCCGATGTGTTTGTTGATAGAGAGATCTAACACTTCGAGGTTTGGGATCACATTTAGAATTTCAGCTGGGGAAAAAAAAAAAAGATAAGAAAAGAAAACCAGAATTGGTAGTCGTCTGGAATATATACAGATGAACCCTAGAAAAATACAGCACCATGACAAACAGGAAGAGGTAGGCTGGGTTTGCCTATATGTGTGGTTTAGACTTACTAAGTTCCTGTTCTACCTAAGAAATACAGCAAAACAAAGATTGGATAGGAATCAAGAAAATCAGCGAAAAATCTGCATGAAAATAAAGGTGAAAAAATACAAGGGCATCTAGAAAAATACAGGGGATAAAAAGCAGGAATACAATGAGAAAGAAAAATTCCTAATGAAAAGATGTAGGACTGTATGTTGCATATGGCCACCTCCTGGAGACGAGAGCACAAGAGCTTCTCTTTAGGGAGAAAATATCTTTTAAAATACAGAATCAGATCAAAAGACCACACAGGATTAAGCTACGGTGAGAGCAAAGAGGGGAGGGGTAATCAGTGGTTGCCAACTCAGCCTAAATTCCTATCCCACAGGCCTTCTTTCCCATCCCATGGTGAACTACATATTCAGCTGCTAAATTTTAAGCAATCAATGTTGGAAATTCTGGCACAGGTGACTTGTTCAGGGTCTCAAAGGATCCAGCAGCCCTGGACCTCTGAGGCAGCCAGACTGTGGTTTAAATCCAGCTATTCTTTCTCAAACCTACCTCACGTAATTAGAGAGAACAACTTTCTTCTTTGGAAGAAAGTGACATACAGTATAGGGATTTAATGAACTTTCTTCTTTGGAAGAAAGGTTCATTAAATCCCTATACTGTGTGCAAATACTATTATAATGCAGAGCCTGAAATAAATTAACATTCCATTAATATTGAGCTCAATACTGCCATAATCTAAGTCACACAAATTACATTTTTGTGAAGGCCATCTCTCAGTCGAGCTCTGTGGATACACATACCAAGGGATTCTCCATCCTTTGCTGTCAGGTTACAGTCCGTAATTTTCAGAAGTTTTATCTTGCATCCTTTCTGGAGTTTTTTTGTCAGGAGTGATAGTTTTCCACCTATGTTACTGTTCCATGATAAATCCAGTTCTTCAAGCTGAGGAACAATTTCAAATGCCTCTCCTGTAACGGAAGTCTGAGATGATTGATTCTAGGTATCAATTTCAGCGCAAGACAAAAATACAGGCTTTGAATATATTAAAGGGGAAGGTTAGCTGCTTAATTCTCAAATTATTATATTTTGTGTGGCTTGCCAGGAAAATTGGAGTATGCCATGAATCGTTGCTACTGCAGCAATGTTGTATAAATGCTCACCTCGTCTAAGGAGCAATAGAGATCACAAATCACTGTCACGGACACACAGGCAGCTTGGCCATCGTCGTGGGCCTGTGCCAGGACCCAGAAAGTCTAGTCTATAGGGAAATCCAGACAAGTGACAAGTCATAATTTACTGTCCTGTGTCGTTCTGCTCTGTTTCATTTGGCAAACTTCCAACATCCTCTGTACCATGTCCACAGGTCGTTTTGGAGGAGATGAAAGAAGTCCCCTCACAGTGATATCTGAAAATTCCCAGTTTCATTTCTGATTCACTTGATAAAGAATCAAGATGATTCTTCTGTTTAGACCCAAATGAACTTTTGCATGATTTCCAGGCAGACACACCAATTTTGATTACCTTCAGAAAAATAAGCCTTTTCCAGGCTTGATGCACCTGCCAATATGATCCATGTTAGTGCTTCTTCATAATACTAACATCCCACTGCAAAAATCCAGCTTCCTAAATTCCTTTCTAGAGGGAGGGAGGTGGATGGATATTTATATAAACTCATTCCCAAGAAAGATCAATTAATCAGACCATACACAAATGTAATTTTGAAGTGTCAACCACACTTCATCAACCTAATACTTGAGAACTGTATTTTAATAACAAACCCCTTTCATGTCTGTGGGTTTTCATAATTAATTCTTCACAAAAGATTTGTAATAGAAAAATAATTATTTCTGTTGTTGTAAGTGAATATCCAGGTTTGAGAGAAAAGGGCATGTCTTAATTTTTATTTTTGCATTTATTTTAAATTATTGCCTAAGTTTTGAATGCTGAGCAATGCACTACAGCTGAGAATTGGTTCTGCCTCTGCAGCACAACCTGTTTCTCTTTGACACATTTTCCAGACATATTTTCCACCCAGAAGATAAATAAAGAGCTATAACTCCAGTAATAGTTTCCTACCACCTCTCACGTCACAACTCTGAACAATTACATAGCACAGAGTTGATATTATAGTTATATTTGAGTTATTGATTTCTATTGAGCACTAAGTCCACAAGTGGCCACATTTCCACAAACAGATGTGGAAATAGCCAAACAGGCAGTACTGGCCTAAATACACATGCTATTTTCAAAACTGCAGGTGAAATCAATGCAGACTGACTGTTGCTATTCCACATGTTAAGGCCATCACATTTGGACTGGGAATTTCAATCCTATGATCAGGTTTGTGTCTGTCTCAGCAGAGGCCAAGCCATAAGGGAAAGGAAACAGCACAGAAGAACCAGGCAGAATAAATCAATTGGAAATATAACCAGTGAAACTCAAGAAAAAAAACCATAAATATAAGAAAAGGGTTTGAAAAAGAATTAAATAAATTTGAAAAAAACATCTGATAGAAAAAGAAACACAGCTTTTACCCTCATCAGAAACAGACCAATTATTTTCACCAGCTTTTGTAGAGATGCATTTTTCCTCCCCAACAGGTAGCATGATCCACTTTTGAAATTTCACCATATATGACATTTTATTTCTGAACCTTTCCTGGAAAAAGCCTGGACATGAATGACATAAGCCCCAGTTTCATAACTCAGAGTGGTTTTTAGAACTTGCAAAATAAGCTGTAGTTTTTTATAATTCTTAGTTGATGGAGTTTGCCCTTCTTTTAGATATATATCACAGACCCACCCCAGAGTAAACTCCAGGCCCAGAGGTGACTCAGCATCAGAACCGCAGTGCATAACACCACATTTAAAACCTTTAAATCTCACACTTTGTAGAAAGCAGGATTGCAGGCACTCCAAGTAAAGTAGTAAGCAGAGGAATAAGCTTCTCCCAGACTTGCAAAAACAAGTCATAAAGCTCCAAGGCAGCACTTCTGGTTTTAAGTCTCCTCCAAAAGACCATTTTCCTTTTCTGTGATGAGCACTCATCTGCCCTGCAGCAAGAAGACCTAAGCTGACCCTATTACGACTGACTCTGTTTCAGTTCTTCTGTCTACCATTAGATATCAAAGCTAGCAAGAAAAATACTAATCGAAATTGAAAACATGCTTTCCTGCAAATAGGACTGAATTCTGCTCCCTTCTGAACATGAAAGCTTCATACCCTGAGGAATGAACTCGGCAGAGTTGCTCAAATGTATAAGGTCACTCATAAGCCCCAGTTCTTTCTACTGTTTCCCAGCAGGAGTTTATGTTGCCCAGTGTGGAAGGAGCAGGAGTAGGATGTAGGAAGAGAAGAGATGGATTACATTAGACCCAAGCTGTCTGGAAGTAAATGGCAATGAAATCCTGTACCTAAGGAGGTGACATCCTCAGCTGTCAGCCTGCAGTTGTTAAGTCGAAGGACTTTTAATAGGTTCACGTGCTGAAGATGAACAGTGAGAGCTTTCAAAGTCCCACCAACACACCCATTCCAGGACAGGTTGATCTCTTCCAGCTCTGGGAGAAATGGCAGTAAAGAAGCTGTAAAAAAAAAAAAAAAAAGAAAATGTGTATCTGTTTGCATGTTACCTGCACACCCTGCATGTCAATACATCTTAATATCATCCATACATCTTAATACAGAGATGAATTCTATAACCAACACAGCGTTATAAAGCCATGACAATTGGTACCTCAGTTTTCTTCTCTGTAGTTTGAGTGTGAGAAGGTTCATCTGTTTCACAGAACTGTGTGATTTTTATATTCATAGATATATAATATAAAAGATTCTGTGAACTTATTAATTAACATTTCTTAGGGACCTGGGACCACCAGATGGAATGTTAAATAAAGGCAGGCCTGTATAAAAGCAAGGGAAGGGAAAAGAGGAGAGTGAATAATTGAATAGGTAAATAAGGATTAAAGAAATGTATGAAGTGACTAGTTGAATAAAATACTTATTTACCCAGCTCTGTTACATCTGCTGCACTTAATTCACAATTAGTTAGATCCAAATTCTTGCTGTTGGGTTTCTTTCCCAGTTTCTGCATGAACTGGTTAAATCTCTGCTCACCAGATGGTGACTCTGCTTCAGAAATGTGATGTGAAAGTCCATCTGAGTAACAAAGAAATAAAGCCCTGGTTACCTTTGCTATCAACAAAACATGTAAAACCTGTCTGTGGCTGTCGGGTGATGTCTTTAGGAAATTAACTAAATCTGTTAGTAAACAGGGCTATATTTTTGATCAATGTGGACCATGAGTGATAAAATCACTATAGAGAAGGTCACTACAAAGTTCCTGGTGCAGAGTGAGAGAAGAATCTCCTGTTGCACATCTCCACCCCACTGTATGCCAGTGACTTTGGATGTTCAAGGACGTGAAATTAATGCAAAACTCTGAACTGCAGCTTTTCTGGATACAGAAGTCGTTTAACCACCTGTGTGTGCCTGCACTGTACCCACACTGCTGCAATACAGCCTGCATTTGATCCGTTAGCACCGAGTGGCCCCCCAGTTGTGTGGTGAAACTGCTGTTTCCTTCATGACACCCTGTGTTCATTTTCATCCATTGCCTGTGTAAGGCAGTTCCTGCTTTTCTTGGCTTTCCAAAGCAACTCCCACTTACCTTCTTCTTCCACGCAGTTTGTTCAGCGAGGAAAATTGCATTTAAATTCATTGCTAAACCCTTTAAAAAATCAGAAATTTCATCTAATGCCTATAGCTGGAAAAAAGCAATGAAAAACTACAAATAATGGCCACCCCGCTCTCAGTAATTGCTGCCTCCTTGTTTGCCCAAACCTACCAAAAACTCTTAGGTAACTGGAAAAAAACAATGAAAAACTACAAATAATAGCCACCCTGCTCTCAGTAGCTGCCGCCTCCTTGTTTGCCCAAACCTACCAAAAACTCTTAGGACAAAAGATGGAGTTCTAAGCCTCACCCTCCATCTCTATTTTTTAAAAATAGTCTCATTTTCTCTGGTGTGAGTGTAAAGATTATTCTTGTGTGTGCAAAATAACATACATGATGAACTTCCATTCCCTTCCCCTCCCCCTTCCCAGTGTCAAGTGGCAGGAAACATCTGCTCCTGTTGTCTTCAGATTGCTTTAGCAGCAGGGTGGACAGAGACCGGTCTTAAATACAACACGCCAAGCTACTGCTCAAAGCTTGGCTTTGAAACCAAATAAGCTCTGCCACTAATGAGCTGACTCCAGCACTGACCTCTCACATTGGAGATCAAGAGAGAGGGGACCCAAAAGCTTTATCCCTCCTCAGCAACATGGATCTCACTCCTCGCTTGGCACCTATCAAATTAGAGGGCACATCCTTGCTTAATGTTCCAATCAGAAGGAAATCCTGGCTAAAGGATTAACTGTGGGTGGCAAAATACAGGCTTTTGGCTAGCAAGGAAAGCAACTGATTTTCTATGAAACTAAAATATATAATATGCACACATATTTAATTATTATACCAGCATTACCTTCTACAGAGAGATCTTGCTTCTCACTCTGATCATTGGCTCCAGAGTTGTTTATTTCTGTTTCTTCGGTTTCCCTTCCGTTCTTGCCTTCAGATTTCCCAAAGTCAAAGCCCCTGAAGAATTTTTTGATGGCTGAAGGCTGCTCTTCTCTTTTTCCAGGAGAGGACTTCTTCCCTTGGAACTGTTTCATAACAAAGTCAAATGGGGAACTCTTTGGGATGTCCTCTTCAGGCTCAACCTGGCAGCTCTGAATGTCATCTTCCAGCGGATCAGCAGACATAGAAAGAATTACACAGAATCACAGAGTGGTCAGGGTTGGAAGCGACCTTTGGAGCTCATCTAGTCCAACCCCCCTGCCAAAGCAGGTCCACCCAG